AAAGCTTGCAAGCTCTATAGGCCGTCCCATTTTGATCATTCCAATTATTTCCTCTAGAGCAGCATCAAGAGGCTCAAATCTGTTCTTGTATTCAACAGCATTCAAAACTTCAGCCCTTCTATCCACATTGAATAACCACAATGGCTCTTGCTCTAGAGCCATTTGCTCAAGTTCCTCCATTGCTGCAACAGAAAGATTGATAATTTTCGTCTTATATGTATCAGCATGCACTGAGACTGACATTAGGAGATCACTTGCTCTGTGAATCTCCTTTGGAAAAGCATTCTCCAAGGCGGTTGAGTTACTAGGAGCCATAAACTCTTCACTGTTAGCTAAAGTGGTTTTCATCTGCAATTGAGAAAAAAAAAAATAGAATGTATAGCAATACAAGTATTATGCAAAAACAAATAATGTAACCTTCAAAAAACAAGAACAAAAGGCATCCTCTCCCTTCTTTTCAAAAATAATTAGCAAGAACTGAGAAAGACACTTGAAAATTGAAGGAGCCTAAATCAATGGACTATTACATCTAAAGAGATTTGAGCAAATTTACAAACCCTCAGAAATTAAGACTTCAACTTGATATGTATTTACATATGGGATAGTGGGATCTAGACTCTAGAGAGAAGCAACGGACAATTTTATCTTCATTTCGACAAGGTTGATTCCCACATGTAGAAACATATCAAATAGTGGGATCTAGAGAGATAATCCAGGGAAAATCTTTTTCCAATCTTGATATTTGCTTGCATGTGTATTCACCTTAAAATGAATGTTTCTAGGGTTTCTTCTTCTTGTTTTGGGTAGAATGTTGATTTTAGGGTTTGCTTGTCATCACCATAGTCCCAAATAGCCCCAAATCTCAAGAATCTTCTAACGAAAGAGTAGAAGGAAGGAGTAATTATTTTCAGATATATACAGTCATTTTAGAAAACATTTGTGCATTGTTGTACAGAAATTTGTATAAGAGTGAGAGTGATCCTGTGGATGAAGTCAGCCTCAACCCTATCTATATATACCTCAGGGCTGTCGTTAAGCTCGAATATTAATCTGTGATTGTCGTCCATTTCGAAACCTTAAAAAGTTTGCAGAAACACCTTAAAAAACTTGATGAAAATTTTTGAAGGAAAAGAACTGAAACGATGTCAAACAACATTCATGCATTCTTAGAAAAAGATTAAAAAAAAATCAAATTGCATGTCTACCTGTATGATCTTGAGAGATGTAATTTCTTGCTAATCTGAATGCACGATCAGTCTACAAGATCTCACAGCCTTTTGTGATGCTAAGATCAACAATTCCAATTTTCTGAATTATGTTTCGGATCCTTTCTCTACCGTCCATCACCCAAGTCAACTCGATAGACAGGTTTTGCTGTAAAACATTCACTGATCTTCCATAAACACATACATGCACATATCAGAGTGTTTGAAATGGTGTTTGCTTTATAATCAACCTATAGAAAAATGGTATGCAGAATATCTGAAAAAGAGAAGGAGAGGAACCCAACTGGGTGAACTGGTGAAGAAGAGTTTCATGATAGTACATGCCCTACCTGGTTCATCTGACGCGTCCACTTCTCTCACCATCATTGGTTCTTCCAATGCCATTTAGAGCTCAAACAGTTACTGCGTTTGGTTCATGAGAGTGCGAGCCTTCATCGAGTAATCGGAAAGTGAACTAACCTTGATTAACCTTGAGAAATAATATTTATACTTAAAATATTGATATGATTTGTTAATTTAATTTAATCAATTATAACAATGATTTGTTAATTTAATCAATTATAACAATTAAATAAATAATGAGTTCTAATAAACATTAAGACTCATACTTAAATCAACAACTGCGATTAATTAAGTCAATAAATTAAATCAATATTTTAAATTTAAGTAATATTGTTCAAAATTAACTTAGATATATATAATTAGTTCGCATGTCGTGTCATGTTATTAAATTGTGTGAATTATTTCATATTAAATTTATTCAAGCTATATCTAACCCATGTATCTATATTTATAATATATAATAGAACAAATTTCAATAAGTTTATTTGACGGTCTCAAATAGACTCATCCAACAGCCACCAACTTCTCTCAAGACTATCTATATTGAACTCCTCTCCCTCCCAAAAAATCTATCACTTCTCGCTGACAGTGCTTCGTGTCTTCAAATACAAATTACTCCTAATAATTTTATATAGTCAGATCATGTCACGAGTCCTATTGAGTTATATCTACCCATTCAATTCACTGGTGTGAACCAGTTAACCTGTTAATCATTGAACCTCGTAAAAAAATAACTCTAATTTTCTAATTTTGTTGAAATTATATGCACTTGATTCTCGTGTTCTAATTCTAAAATAAAAATAATATTATTTAAACTTAATTTATTGACTTAATTCATCACACTCATTAGATTAGTGATAAGTCCCAACAAATATTGGGGTCTACTATCAATTTAATAATTATAAATAATTAGATTAATAAATTAAATTAATAAATTATATTCAAATAATATTATTGATAAAATAATAGGGAAACCATTAATGTGATGCGTGTGAATTGTTATCCAAGTTGAAAGAGAAACTACAAGTGGACATGAAAATGCCTATATAATTTTATTTTCTTTTATCAAACAACAGCGAACATAGATCTAAAACACCACATATCAAGAACACCGCATATCTAGATCTCCTCGTAAGTTGTGTCAATCTTCTTCTTCTTCTCTCTCTCCACACAGACACGTGACACGCACTCACAAAAATGAAAGAAAAGTTATTGGGTCTTCTTGTTCTTTCTCATATGTTGGATCTTCTTTCTCTCTCTCTCTACGCACGCATAAACACGTGATTAATATGAATAATTGAATCTAAGTTAAATAGTTAATATACACTACTTTTTTTTTTTACCAAAAACACACACACATAACACATTCAACAGTCCAGTTAAGACACGCACAATAAAATATTTAATTTTTATTGTGACTAAATTTTTAGTTAAATTATTATTTTATAAATTTTATTATTTTTGTATTATATGATCAGTTTGACCAGTAAACCCATTAAACTAATGAACTATTGATCTAGTTCCTCTGCTGATTTGATATCTGGTCTGATTCTAATAACATTGGTTAGAATACGTTTGTGGTGTTCTATGTGGTCATTCCGGCAAGTGTATTTTACTTCCTTTAAGGGTAATTTAGAATTTTTAGTCTTCAGGATGCACATAAATTTTATTAAATAATTAAATTCTTAAAATTGTAATCGATTTTTAATTTAGTTAGTCTTTAAAGTATGTCTGTTTTATCACTTTGGTCATCTTTATATTAATTTTATCAATTTAGCCCGTAAAAATTTAATTTGTGTCACTATCGTCCTTAGTCAGACAATTCGTCAAGTTTTTTGACGAAAATAACAACTTGTCATTTTTTGAGACGATATTACATGTCCAACACGTGATCATTCCATCAACAATTTAACATTTCATTTATGTAGGGATCATTTATACACGAACTGAATAATTTAAGGGGACCAAATTGATAAAATTAATACTTTAGAAACCAAATTAATAAAATATATATACTTTAGATATCAAAATATAATTAACCAAATATTCTCTCCCTACTCGTTAGGTCATGATAGCATTAGTAATTACATTTTGTCCTAATGTTTTTTTTTTTTGAAGTATTATGTCTAGATTTTCTGAAGTTCATCAATTAATTACTCAGATTTCCTGATATTTAAAATATTACACACAAACTCCCGAAGTTTGTCTGCACGTAACACTTAAACCCCTGATATAAATATATTATTTAATAAATTATACTTAAACCCTCTTAAAATTTATAAGTATATAATACTTAGACCACTTAAGTATAAAATATTATACTTAAACCAAAAATACTTCAATTAAAGATAAAATATCAAATATTTTAAATTTTACAATCAAAATTCATGTTCTATTGTATCATTTATTGAAATAAATCAAAAAAAAAGTTTAATTTTTTTTAAAAAAATCGTAATTAGTTTACAATTATATTGTCTATTAGAATTTAATTTGGTTGTTTAAACAACCAAATTAAATACCAAATTACCTCAATTAAAGCTAAAAGATATTATGTTTATTACAGTTTAACCCCTTATTTAATTTTTTAGTTTTATTCTAATAGATAGTATAATTATATAATAACTATGATTTTTTAAAAAAAAATTAGACTTTTTATTTTTGATTTTATTTCAATAAATGAAATAATAGAACATGAATTTTATATGTAAAATTCATGTTCTATTATGACTTACTTAAATCCCTTGTTTGATTTTTGTAGTTTTATTCTAATAGATAGTATAATTATATACTAATTACGATTTTTAAAGAAAAAATAAATTTTAATTTTAATTTTATTTCAATAAATGATACAATAAAATTTAAAATATTTGATATTCTGTATTTGATTGAAGTATTTTTTGTTTAAATATAATATTTTAAACTTAAGGGGTCTAAGTATTATATATTTATAAATTTTAAGGGGTCTAAGTATAATTTATTAAATGATATATTTACATCAGGGGCCTAAGTGTTACGTGCGTATAAATTTTAAGGGTTGGTGTATAATATTTTAAATTTTAGGGATCTAAATGATTAAGTGACAAACTTTAGGGGGGCTGAATATAATTTTTTTTTTTTTTTTTTTAAGTCGGGACATTTTGTCCTAATGTACCCGCCCCGGATCCACAATCCTGAATTACACCCGATATTTTCCCTGCTTTTAATACAAATAAAATAATCCCGCATTCAACCAACACAAATTGCGCTGAATGAATAGATATCTCTGTTTAGGAGACGAACCAAATTTCATTAGCTTCACAATTGTCATGCGTAACGCAGACGTCTCAGAGACAGAGAGCAAACCAACCGATTCCTACTCTCTCTCTCTCAGCAGATCTATCACTCCTGATTTTGAATTTTCTCTCTCTGAAGATCTGAACATTTATCACAACTATGGTTTCGACTAGTAGGATCAAATCTGTGGATTTTTACAGGTTAGTCATCGTTTCTGTGTATATGATTTATATTCTGTGGACAACTACTACACATTGATTGCGTTTTGCTATGTGTGATTGGCTCGAATCTTTACCGTTATGTTTCTTGAAATTGTTTCTTCTTCTATTGGATGTCAGTATTTATACTTGTTTACAAGGTATTCGATTTTGGTTCACACTGGACTTATATTCGGCCTTTGTGTTTGAAATGCTGATCGTAGAGTACTTGATATGCGTAATCCATAACCGTGTTAGCTATTGGCCCTGTTCGAGACTTCGATTGATTGGTCGAAGTTTCGCGGCATATGGTAATGTGCCTCAGTGATTAAGCTTGAACCTTTGAATATAGAGCAATAGTATTGAGACCTAATTTATTGACTTAATTTACTAAGATTTTTAAATTGATTTGACTTCCCATCAAACATTGGTACTTGAAAGTTGATATTAATCTAATAGTTCCAATGGTATATTAGCATTGATCTTGAATATATACTAGGATTTGAACTATGGGTCCAGTGATATGGACCATGGGTAGCCGTGCGCACAGTTGAAACTTTTGCTTGCAAGGGAAGGGTCTCCGAGAGCTTGTATGTTGTATACATGGCCAAGCCCATAAAATTGACCAGTATTTCGGATCGTTTCATGTCACCATACTTTGGTTGCCGGCATCCACAACGTTTTACTCTATCGAAACTGGCTTGACATCATGGTTCTTCCCACGGAGCTCACGAGCAATTTGACATGTCCTATACGTGGTACCTCTTATGATGGCAACCACATTACTACCTTTAATAATGGAACCAAATAAATATGAATTCAACACATGAAGTGCAAGGTAAGGGTGTTCAAGAGTTCATGTAACTAACCAAGCCCATACTTTACCAATGGGAGACATTTAGAATCATAATATATAACGAAGGTAGGTTTTTGGGCTTGACATTAAGAAATTATAGTAAGTTGAGTGAATGAAATGCGGTGGGTAGGTATAGTATCGAAATCCATTTGACCCACCATTACGAAGTGGGGATTTCTAAAATTACTTTCGTATGGAATTTTGGTGTGAATTTTTTATAAGGTATAAGAAATAAAATAATTTATTTTCATTTGTTGTCCATATATGATTATTGTCTAAGTGGATAGTGGTGCCACAGAAACTTAGTCTCATTGACATTTCTACATCGTATGTCTATGTTTAGGTATTTGTAACATAGAACCTTAATGGTATCTTAATCCTTTTATTTACTAGATGCATTTTCGACTCTTTTGTTTACTTCCTCCCCCATTTCCTCTTTCACTATCTCTTCAAGCTTAATTGGAGAGATCATTATGCATTCCTATTGGGAAAACAAACAACAAATTTTTCAGATCACTACACTCTATGGGGGTGCTTGTTTCACCGGATTAGATGGGATTATATGAGGGATAGGGTCAAGGGGTCATTTGGGTGGGATAATCATTGTCTTTGAAATACTCGGCCGTAGGAATTGTAGCTCAAAATTCCTTCTGATCCAGATATTTCTAACTCATGGGGAGTGTGGGATTCAAATCTTGTCGACAGGATTGGTTTGGTATTTTATGAAAGCACCCCTGTGTTTAGGGTTTTTACACTTTTGTCTGATATTTCATTTCATCCAATAACTGGTCTCCCTTTCTCATATCATAATGGCGAACGGGAAAGAAGAAGAAGAAGATATGCTTTTCTCCCCCTCTCTCTCTAGCTCTCTTCCTCTCTCTCCGTCAGACTCTTTCTTGGCTCTCTCTCCCCCTCTGTGGATTTCTGTCTGTGGGTCTTTGTGTGTAGCTTTCTTGTTTTTCCACAGTCAAAGCCATGTCCAAACTACCAGGGTCATAGGAGCCTGTGTGGCTTTCTTGTTTCTTCTCTTTCTTGATCTGTTGAGGTTGTGAAGAGTGGGGACAGCTTTTAGCCACAAAAGAGTAACATCAATTGAATCAATATGATCTTAAAAATTTAATTACAAGTTTTCTATATGAATCTACATCCAATATTTGATGGGTAATTGCATTTGCATCTGCAATTTCAGAATTCTTCTCACATACTGCAATTATAGTAGTAATATCCATTATTTTCACTCAACTAATAATAAACCAGAAAACAAAAATTAAAACATGGAAAAAAAAAAAGAAGCCAATTCCAACAACACCCAACCGACAATAATAATGTCAATCCACAACTCTTGATTAAATATAAAAGCTTATTTATCAAATATATTTGTGGTCAACTTTTTTCAATTTTTTTAGAATGGAACACAAAAAACTTAGTTTTTAACAATAATTTACTATTTAAAAATTTTCAATACAACATTAAAGTGGTAACCTAGTCTTGCCAAGCCAAATATGACAAAGGTTTAGACAGAAGTGCATTTAAGGTTATGATGACAAATTTAAGTCAAAGTTATGAGATTTGACCAAAAAAGAGTTGGTTGGTAATGGGGCCCACAATATCATAAATTACTATCCAAATAAAAGATTGGATAAAACTAACTATGCTAATCTAACATTGTAGCCGGCTTATAAGGGATTTCATTGGATAGGTTTGAATACCAAATCCAAACAAGTCCAATCTTGTGGGTGATTGCCAAACACACCCTATAGGAGCAAGGACATGTTAATTTGTCTTTCTCTACCCTACCGACTCGTCTTTCTCTTCTCCCCGGATCCATCAGAGTTCAACCTTTATGCGAATTATCATATTATGTATTTGTGGAAGAACTTAACATTTGCACCAACCTCTTTTAGAGGAATACTCTGAGTTTCTATCTCCAATTGCTCTTGTGGAGATGTACTCGGTGATTTAGCTCCCTTTCTCCTTCATGAGTGAACTCCCCTAAACCAAAAAGATCCTTTTTTTTATCCTCCTTCCACTCTTCGCTTTCTACTGAATGGACCCGAGGTCTTAGATTTGCTTGAGAAAGTTATTGTCAACTGTCATTCGTGCTTTTGCCCATTGTTCAATTTTCCTGCCACAAGTTGTGTCTTTGCTGCTATGAGGCATGATTGTGTCATTGTTTCCTCCACATAACTTCAGCGTGTTATTGTACAATTTTTTACATTGTTGCTTTATAGTTGGACACTTGGACTTGCTTGTTATAAGATGACGCTAGATTTCAATAGTTTCTCACTTTGCCTTGCCATGTGGCCTTATGACCTCTCATTTTGGCTAGGTATCTTCTTGTCATTTTGATAATATTTTTCCAATTTCCCTAATATTCTATTTTTCACATTATTTCCTTGGTGGATGCTAATTTATTTGGTAGAGCTCGGGCATGACACAATTACATTAAGGGCATTGTTTTACTTCGTTTCACTTATCATCCAGGATGGATGTATTTAATATTCCATAACAGTGAGAACAATTAGATGCGGTAACTGGAAGATATCAGTTTTTCAGTTCTCAAAGTTACCTCACTGCATCTTTATTCTTTAACAATCATTTTTGGCAATAAATCCGTTTTGCTCAGCCTTGAGTCTTGTGCAATGGTTGAATTTTTTCCTTCAAATGTTGTATAAATATTAGAGGTCTTAATAAAGGCTATTAAGATAATAACTGATAAAGATGAAGACAAACATATACAAAATGTGAAAGTAAAAGAAGGAATATGGAGATGAAGAGGCGACAAATTCAACTCCTCTTTTTGGAAGTAGTGGAAGGGTTGTGGGATCGAATCTATTTCCTAGTTTCTTCTTGGGCTTTGGTGGCTGAATAATTTGAGAATATCTCTCTTTTTTGTATTACATCGAGTTGGATGGCATCTTTTGGAAGATAATTTTGAATTATTGGTGGTCACTTCCAATTTTTTTTTTGTATTAAATGCAATAGGGTTGGACTACATGTCCACCTTTACTCAAATAATGTTAACTTCAATTATCAGTTAGCAATTTTGTTTCTTTTCAAAAGAAAACGAATTCAACTTAGTTTTTTGGTCTTATATTTTGTTCTTCGCTTCGATACAATTCCAACAAAAATTTTATATTTCAAATTTTCAATAAAAAAAAGGCAAGAGACTTGGAGTGATAGACCCAACATTGACCTCTTTTGTTCTTCCTTCTCTTATGTCTTGTGAATTTGTAACTGAAAAAAATGTTTTCTGTGAGATATTACATTTTTTACGTGGTTGAATCCTCAGCGTTGTTCATGATTGTATTTGATGGAATGCACACTGACTTTTTTTTCACATAATTATTTGCACATTTGTATTTGTTGCAGGAAAATACCCAGAGATTTGACAGAGGCTTCCTTATCAGGTGCTGGATTGTCCATTGTAGCAGCCTTGTCCATGATGTTTTTATTTGGAATGGTAGGAAGCTTGTATTGCACCTATTTGGTTGGAGATTTTTTGGATTTAATATGTTGATGTTGTAGAGGATTGTGAATGTTAGTCTCGGATTAGCTATGTTTGATTCACATCTATTTAAATGCGCTGTTTTGACGTTCTAAAGATTCCAGATTTGATTAGTTTATCAGAAAACCTGTAAATTCCTTCAACCATTCCATTGGAGGTCTACTTTCCATATTGGACATTCTTATATTGGTGCTTTTTTTACAAGTCAATGTAGTATTGTGGTTTTGTCGGTAGCTATCACTAAATCATAATTTTTATTCAGGAATTAAATAACTATTTGACAGTGAGCACCTTAACCTCGGTTGTTGTTGACAAGAGTTCTGATGGGGAATTCTTGCGCATCGATTTTAATATGAGGTATGATTCCACAAAAGTTTTTTAAGTCTTTACCAAGAATCATCAATTTTACTTTTCCCACTTTACTCTGGAAAAAGAAGTTTTCTTTCTTTGCTTAATGTGCTAATACCACAATATAGTAGGGGAAATGATCCAGCCCACTCATAATTTTGTAAAGAAAATTGATACAATCTTAGTTCTATGGTTAAAATGGTGAGAGTAGGTAGAAGCTCCACCCTATGTTCTAATTGTGTAAAGCAATTGGACACAAAATTTGGTTCTTTGACCAAAATGGAGGCAATGAGTTTGTGTTCTTGGGAATCTCTTTGACTGTTTCACCTTCATTTCTTTGTTTCTTTTCTTTTTTTTTGTTGGATGCTTTTGACTATATTGATTCATATTTCTCCTGTATGCTAGCTTTAGGAATTGTAGATAGGATTGCAATGGTTATGTTGCCAATTCCTATTTTATATATAAAATTTGTTATCTTAACATAACTACATTAGTAATTTATTTTTCAGGCAAGTGTTTCACTATGAATTCTGATTTAGTAGTTTATTTTTGGCATTTTGTTATTTTCCTAAGTAACATTTTCTTACAATTTTCTTGTAGTTTTCCCGCACTCTCTTGCGAATTTGCATCTGTTGACGTGAGTGATGTCTTGGGAACAGTAAGTTTCAATCCTCCAATTTACATTTGTTAGGCACTTTTGAAAAGTAATATATGACTATTCAAAAAGTAATTTTCTAATATGTACTTAAAGTAATTGCTCTAGCAACAAATTAATTGTGCTTCTGGTTTGACCCACAAGTATTTTAGAAATAGAAAATTCGTTTATTTTCACTGATGAGGAAGTATTAAAGTCTCTTAAAGCACAAATTCCTTCTTTTCGTCCTTTTTTTTGAATATTTAATATGGAATTGTGAAGGGTCTTATTTTTAAGGACTAATGGAAGAATGTTCCATATGACTTTTTAGTTTTTACACATTTGGGGTGAGTGCATCTATATATGAGTTGATATTACTTTTTTTAAGTGAATTGTCCCCAAGAGATTTTTGAAATTGTGCTTCTTTTTGTCAAAGTTCAAAATTTCATTTTGAAATGGTTGAAATGTCTGAAACGTTTTTGTTTTCAACGAGACCAAAACGAATCAGTGATTGAATCGAAAATCCAATGCTTTAAGATGTTACTTAATGTCTCGAAATGTTTCAAGATGCTTTGACGTGTTTTCACTAATGTTTTGAGATGTTTCAAGATGTTTTGGTATATTTTGACCAATATCTTTGAAAATAAATTGCCAAATTTTTTATTTATTTCTATTATGTTTCCAAAACTTTTATGATATTGTTTCCGTTTCTAGGTGACCAAAAGAACGCACCAAAACGAAATTCTGATCTTTGTTTTTTGCTAATTGGTGTCTAAGTACTATTCTATGTTTGAAGAATCTTTAGTGGGATCTTTTATCTTGCTCTTCTTTCCCTTGTGATTAGTAACTCATGTTTTCTCCCATTATTTCAGCCGTTCTAACTGATTATGAAGCAAAAGCCCCCGCTATAGCTAACATAGTGCTTGATCAATGGCTCCTAAGAAGATTGATTGAACTGTCATATTTCTATTATGGCCACCGTAGAATACTTTTTCATGCATATACATATCTGTGTGTGTAAATATACATAAGATTGTGTAAGTTACCCATTTGAAGTCGGACTGCTCTAGTTGAAACTTCTCTCTGAGAGATGTCTTTTGGAGTGTTTGGCAAAGGTATGAATATTTTATGGCGATGTGCTTTTCCAGCTAGATGTTGGCTGAATTATGGGGGAAGGATCAATGATCTTTGAAGCTAAAATGGTTTTGACTGTGGAAATTGGACATTTTGATTCTCTTGTTTCAAAATTATGCTGCTAGTCAAAAAAAAAAAAAAAGAAGGAAATTTTGCTTAAGATACAATATCTTAACCTCCATCTGGGTTTTACATTGAGAGGATGTCATGGCTTTCTATTCGATGCATGGTGAAAGTTGTGGAATTTCTTCTAAACATGCAGCCAATAAGTTCACTCATGGACACCCAGATGGTTTTACTTTTGGATATACCGGCCAGTTGGATGTTGGATTTCTATTATTTGGATGTTATTTCTATCACGTGTTTCTATTTTCTGATTGTTTGTGTCACTTTTTTTTCTTAGTTTCTGTAAGTGAAGTGAATCTGGCTGAATTTGTGTCCTGTTATTTGCAGAACCGATTAAACATAACAAAAACAATCCGCAAATATTCAATAGACTCCAATTTAAAACCTACTGGCTCAGAATTTCAGTCTGGACCAGTTTCAAAAGAAATTAAGCACGATGATGAAGTTGATGAAGAATATGGTGAAGGAGCTGTTTCTCTAAATAGTCGTAATTTTGATAGAATTTCACATCAGTAAGTGGAGCAGATCTGATTTTCAAATGTTGTTATTATTTTCCTTGATGCCTCTTCAGGTTGTAATGCAGTCTCCTGATGATATATTGAACTTGTCTTTTTGCAGGCATTCAATTTTGGTTGTCAATTTCTTTGCTCCTTGGTGCTATTGGAGTAATCGCCTGGTGATTCTTGTCTCCTTTTTTTCATGCTCTCCTTGTTCACCAGTGCTACCTCTTTGAACATGGTGCAAAGGCAGACATCACGTGCATGCATTTCTTTCTGTTTGGATTGACATTGTGCAAATAGATATAAATTTTAGCTTATTCTTAAGATTTTCATGCTCCAGTGGCTCTGCTTTCATTGAGCTACCTCTTTGAACATGATGCAAAGGCAGACATCATGTGCATGTATTTCTTTCTGTTTGGATTGATATTGTGCTCAAAGACATAAAATTTAAGTCAGTGCCCATATTGAATACCAGAATATTATCTCAACCTTGTGCGAGGCAATGTAGACAGGGCAGCTCTTTCCATGCTTGTCACTTGCAATTAATGCAAGTTTCTAAATATTCTCTTAAATTGAACATCTTCAACCAAAATATCATTCAACAAATATGTCTTCTTCACTTTTAATCACTTGATTTAATCTATCAAAGGTGGCATTTTTATATTCTGGTATCATTTTAGTAGTCAATTTTGTCTATGATGTTTGTTTTGGTCAAAGATGCGTTAATTATAAGATTGATGTTATATTGAGAAATACTTAGATATCTTTTTTCTTTCTCTTTTTGAGCTATCTCATATGTTTCCCTTTGGGCTTGCTCATCTTTTTCTCTTTGGGCTTGCTTGCTCGTTTTCTATCAATTATAAGACTACAAAGTTTGGAGTAGGTTGCAATATTTGTCGTAAAGCATTTTATCTCAATGAATACCTTTTGGACTTAACTAATAGTTTGCTGCTCTACCCTTTCCAGAAACCTTCATGGGAGAAAGCAGCCACCATCATAAGAGAAAGGTCCACTTGCATCTTCTATTCTTTCATTTTCCTTGAAAATAGACTTTGTAAATAGTAAATTTCATCTCATTACTCAAAAGAAGTTATCTGTATCATCAAGATCACTTGCCATACAAAATCTCATAGGCAAACTTGGTTTCAGATACGATCCAGAAATGGATGGGCGTATTCTTCTTGCAAAGGTTGATTGCACTGAAGAAAGTGAATTGTGTAGAAGGTACTTCTAAGATTGATGTTTTAGCTTTTTGTATGGTGTGTGATAATTGGATTAACATGTCCTCATGTGAAGAAAAGTCCTACTGGTTTTGGTTTATGTTAATTTTTGTGTAATTTATGTCGATAGTCAAAGTGTTGTTTACTATTCGTTGTTGGTAATTGAAAATTTTTATTTTGAGTTTGTTCTTTGATCTTGGGTTCAGGATAAGGCTAGAAACGTTTTGTTGGATAATAAACTGAACTTTTAGGACCTCTGGCAACATAATCCCTAATCAAAAAACCGTCACATAATCTACCATCTCCTTTTGACTTTACACTTTCTTCCTTCATTCTACTAGTTCGTTGACATCTTTCTCACAATTGTTGTGGCCTCAACTCATTATATACATAATCATATGTTGTATGGCACTTATCCCTATGCCGACTGGAAAAAATTAATTACTACACTGGTGTATCCATGCCTATGATTGTGTGTAATGTTTCAGCTTCCATTGTTACTGGGAACTTGGGTTTGTGTGATTGATTTTTCTGTTTGGGTTTGCCAGATAATAATTTCCTACTTGAGGTTACACTTTTGTTTCTTTCATATCCATGAGAATGCTCAAATAATTGAAGTTTTTTAATATTATATACATTTAGGCTTCCTTGGATCTCGTATATATGATTGTTCTTTAATTTTCTTTGATCTTCTGTTTAATTAGAATCTCTAATCTTTTTATCGTTGTTTTTTATCCACTCTTTTGGTTGACCCTCAGTTTATACTGGTCTTTCAGGAATCACATACAAGGGTATCCGTCTGTCCGTATATTTCGTAAAGGAAGCGATGTTAGGTAACAATGGATATTGCTATCAATCTTTACAGTTTTGTTCAATGTATGAGCAGTTTTTTTTTTCTTTTCAGATTTGCATTCTTATACTTTCACCGTCCTTACTTGGAATCCCTGTTTTTGAAATTTGAGCATTTTCTTGATGTTTTGAGTTCCAATTTAATTAATGATGCCATGCCGATATGGCATGCCTTTGTTGTGGAATGATGCATCCTCTGTGTTTTGTCAACACTCTACCTGAGAATTCAGACCATTAAGATAGTATTGAATCAATGAGATTCATTCTTCTCTTATCTTTCTTCCTACTATCTTGTTTTCCCATTTTTTTATAGTTATTTGAAATCTTGTCCTATAATTTCCTTGTTTGAAGAAATTGAGTTTGATCATTGCCGCCTCTAGTAATAAGATAATATCTGCACTTAGGTTATCCATACAAGGAAGGATATTGGAAATGAGAGCATCAGGTTGGAAAATTCTTTAGTTGAGACTTAGAGTGCTTCCGGGGTGCATATAGTTCGAAAGAAATATATACACATGTCAAATTTGTATCGTAGTGTGTTGACATATATAGTTTATCCGTTTCTGTGCATATTTCCAGATAAGTGAAAGACATCAAGACTCGTGACTAAAAAAAAAAACAGCAAAACTCGAACAGCTAAGATAAGCTGACCTCGGTGGTTACGAATGGTTTCCTAGTCTGATCTGTCATGTGTTTAAACCATCTTCACATCATGCATTTTCAAGTTCTACAACGGGGTTCTAGCTGGCATAATAGAGTTTTTACATGCAAATATCTGGGTTTTTTGACAACCTTCCCAATCCTCCTTCATGCAGTATTCCTGTTTCACGTGCACCTGATCACTCAGGTTTGTACTTTGTACATCCTATGGTAGAAAATAATAACATAGACTGTTTATGAAGTTTGTTGCTGTTGTTTAAGTGCTTTTGTAACTTCCTTCGATGGTCCCCTTTGTTGGTCTTGGGATAGTGCTTTCGTAACTTGCAATAGCCTCCCTTACTGGGTGCATTTGAATTTGGTGCGAATCATCCCAAGTCCTTGTATGTCTTGATCTCAGATACACTTTTTATTTTTTTGATTGATAAAAGAGGACTAATAGTAAGAGAGCAAATAGAGAAACAAAATACTTATTAATGAGACATTTACCTGTTGGTACATTTTCTGTCTTGGTGTGACTCTCTCCCCCCCTTCCTTCCTCTCTCTCACACATACACACAGAGCATATTGATCTCTTCTTGGGCATTTTTTTGTCTTGCATTTTGCTATTCTGGGAAAATTCTCACGACTTACTTTATGCTGAGTTCTTAATGTCACTTACACTTCTGCCTTCTTATGTGCTTCCCTGTTTTGTGACTTGTTTTCATCACAGGGATGATCATGGGCACCATGATCATGAATCATACTATGGGGATCGAGATACAGAGGGCCTCGTCACTGTAAGAACAGTTTTAAGTTTTGATCGGCAGAGTTCATTAGAGGAGGAAAAAGGGGGAAATAGAGAAATGAAGTAGGAAACGTAGCACTCACTGTACACAAAAATTTACCCCTTTTCTATTACTTTTTCAAAATTTAATATTAAGTTGTAAACTGCCTTGATTGTTTTAGTTCCATCTTCTTTCACACACACAGCAATGTTTTAAAGGAGTCCAGCATGACCTAGAGTTTCCATCTCTCGCAGGCAATGGAAAGTTTGGTTGCACCCATTTCCTTGGATTCTCAAAGACTTGCTTTGGAGAACAAATCTGGAAACTTAACAGCTGATGCAAAAAGACCTGCACCATTGACAGGAGGATGTAGAATTGAAGGTTTTGTACGTGTTAAGAAGGTAAACGTAAAATCAAAATTGGTGAAAGCATAGTTAGAGATGTCTTCCTTTGAAACATTCTGGCATATTCAAGTCACATAGATTATATGTTGAGCATGACTGATTTTTTTTTTTCTTAGCTACTTGTGTTTTATCTCAGGATATTTGGCTTTTCGTTTAGAATTAGTGATGCATACACTTGTTAGGCATATGATTTTGAGCTTGACTAGTGATGTGCAGGTTCCTGGCAACCTTATCATCTCAGCTCATTCAGGAGTTCACTCCTTTGATGCCTCACAAATGAATATGTCACACATAATTTCCCATCTTTCGTTTGGTAAGAAGATCTCCCCAAGAGTAATGAGTGACATAAAGAGAGTGCTACCTTATCTTGGTCGAAGCCATGACAAGTTGAATGGGCAGGCATACATCACTGACCCGGGCGATTCAACCGCAAACGTTACTGTAAGCTTCATATTATCCTTGTTAAATTTTGCATTTTCATCTGCTTTTATATTGTTCTTGATTTCTGGCCCGTAGCGTGGCATTGTGCTTCCATTTATATGGAGTGGTAAAGATGAAAAGTGAAAAAGGGAAAAGAAGTACAAAGATTCGTTGCAATTTTTCCTGCATATGGATGACTAAAATTGGCTGGTTTTAAGAAATCATAAAGCCTAACGGAATATGTGCCTGATGAATATCATATTTGGAATGTGCTCAAGTATTTGTTCTCGCACTTTAAAGTAACGTTTGATAATTTAGTAAATATTGAAGAAGAATGATCAAGGCTCTGAAGTTCCATATTCGGGATCATTTGACTGAGTTGATTCATCTCAATTCTCAATCCCCTGTCCCACCTTTCCCTGCTCTGCCTGAGGCTTGTTTCTTTTCAGAAAAATGTTTTGCTGCTGCTGTTTTTTTTTTTTCTGTTCTTGTTATTTACTTGGAATCCTATTATAGTTTTGAAGTCACCGGATCAGCTTTAAGACACTTATACTGGGATCAGAGAGCTATCATGCAAGGCAATTCTAGTTTTTTTTTTTGCTATGGATCCTAATTTACTTGCTTCCAAGCAAATGAAATGTCAAACGATTTCTTACTAGTACCTGCAGAGACAGAGATGGATGGAGATGTTAAATGGGATCTTAGAATCTTGAAGTATAAAGAATTTGGTTACTAGTCACCATATAAACTCGAGTCTTAACTAATGAATTTGCAGATAGAGCATTACCTTCAGATTGTGAAGACGGAGGTGATGACAAGATCATATAAATTAGTGGAGGAGTACGAGTACACAGCCCACAGTAGTTTGGTACACAGTCTTGATATCCCTACTGCAAAGTTCCATTTCGAACTCTCTCCGATGCAGGTTTCAAAGCAATCCATTTAATTGTTATCCTATGAATGGAATTTGCTGCTATGCTGATTTCTGTTTTAATATATATATATATTGTTCTATTATCAGGTCTTAGTAACAGAAAATCCAAAGTCCTTCTCGCACTTTATTACAAACCTCTGTGCCATTATTGGTGGTGTTTTTACGGTAAATACTGTCTCTCTGTGTGCGCGCGCTCGTTGGTATGCCATACTTTATTGTTAACCATTATTCTCTCTAAACCTTTTTTTTTTTCGTCCTTTTTCTTGGTCTCAGGTTGCCGGGATATTGGATTCAATTCTGCATAACACACTCAGACTGATGAAAAAAGTTGAACTAGGCAAAAATTTTTGATACAGAGTTCAAATTAGTCAGCGTAAAGAATATTAATTTCATCATGCCCCCACCATCTAATAGGGACGTTTTTTTTTTTTTTAACTTTAGAAAACAGTGCAGTTTATGTATTTATTTGTACTTTTGAATTTTTCAGTATGAGAAATATAACTGGCAATCCTTATTCAAGTACTTCTCATAATTGTTGTCGAAAATACCATAAAAACCAAAAAAAAATAGCCTTTGAATGATGATTGATTGCATTGAAGTGCTCTAATCTTGGTACAAGTTAGACATTAAGTGACATAATTCTTTCTAAATTCCTAGCGGTCGTGTTCCGCACGCGAATTTGTGCTCTAGGAGGGAATTTTTTTGTGAATTCACGTTTTTATTTTACAAAATTTATAAATTTAATTTTTTAATTTACAAAATTTATAAATCCGCACTCTTATTTATATGCTTACTTATTGTTACTTAAAATTTTATTTGGAAAGTACTGAACTAGGCCAAAAAATTAATATCAAATTACAATAATATTTGTAAGCTATAATTGTCATTGTAGGACTTTATAATTAACATATATTGAAAAATGAAAAAGTTTGTTTCATAGGTGTGCATCAAATTTTAATTTTTTATATTAAATTTTTATGAGTATATATATATATATATAATATGACGTTATCAAGGCGTTTTCATTTTCAATTTTTAACGTTTTTTGCGCTCTCGCACCTGCTAATCTAGATCAGGCAGGCCCAAGGTTTATGTTTATTGTTGGATGCTTCTAGAGGTAACTAATAAACAATTTTATTTTCATTTTGGATAGTGTCGTATTGCTTAAACAATGAACACTTAATAAAAAATGGAGAGTGAAAATGAAATTAACAAATTTTTGTATCTAGAACGAATAAATGTCAATTATTTGATTATACATATTGTACGTATACGTTGCTACGACAATCAACTCACATGTATACGGTATATCAAACCAATATTAACAATCAAGCTTCCCTTGAAGAACCCAGACAAATCCACTGGTATCAAGGTGAGGACAATCATAAAGAACAAAAACAATCAACAAAAAAAGCAGCAGCAAATCCCACCCTTCATTCAGAACTTCCAAGTTAGATAAACAGGACAAGGTATGAACCAACAAAAGTTCCAACAAAGCCAATAATTCTCTCGTCAATTGAAGAAGCACCATTTTTATGAGTCTCCCCAGAAGGAGCTGGAGATGGGTTTATTTCTACTGATCCTGAAGGTGGTGGAGTATAGCCCTCCCCTGCCGGTTCTGGAGATGGAGCAACCTCCGTTGATCCTGAAGGCGGAGGAGACGACGCCTCGCCTGCTGGTGCAGGAGATGGAGCAACCTCTGTTGATGTTGAAGGTGATGGGGATGGGGATGCTACACTTGATCGGTTGCTTCGGTCTGCCATCACAATTACCACCAACTTTTCATTCTTGAGACAGTTTTCATGAACTCCACTTATGAAACAGTAAGGCCCAGATTGGTCGAACTTGAACACAGTGTGGCCATCAGCAAATTTTTCTAGTGGGGTTGATGTATTGCAGTTTGTGTAGTCCTCCCTAGTCACATGGAGCACTGAATCTTTGTCAGCTGAGTAGACGAACACTGCAATAGAATAGGAGTTGATGAAATTAGAAATAAGGCAAGGAGTTCCGTTCTGCACTGATTTTGGTTTTTGAGCAACATAATTAGTTCCGATCATGTGTCCGTTAAACTTATAGCTGTAACGCAAATCTTGAATACACACAATTACCCGTAAGATATATGAATCGGTTAAACTCGGGTTTTGTGCAACTAATGGGACTCAAACTGCGGGTTTGTGTCTCATCTTTTGTTTGACCAGTGACCCAACCCGTGCAGGTTTTTGGACTGATCTTTCAATGTGGGTAACTGTTGCTTCCTTAAAGGTCACTAAAGCACTAGACTGCAAAAGTTTTCATGGGAAAAAATGATAAAACTTACATAGAGTGTCTCCAATTTGAAATCTATTATTTTCTGCCCATTGGTTATGACTGTTTGAGTTAGGATCAGCAGGAACAGCCCAACCATTTGAACCTCCAACCTTGTACTCAAATGCACCACCTCTCTGGATCAACATCAGAACGTTAAAGAGACCCATAACAGCAAATGCTTTGTTATGCTGATTTGGTCTCAACATGGTGTTGGCAATTGAAAAAACAAATTGGGTCTAAGAGTACTGAAAGATGTGTCTTCCAGTCAAATCTAAAATCTCAAATTTGGATGAAGCTAATGAGGTGACACAAATGGGACAATGATGAATAGGTATTTGTAGGCCAAGTGACATGAACTTTACAATCTGTGGTAGTGAAGCTTTTGTTCCTTTATGCTATTCTTTTCTTTTCGGGTTTCTTAGCTTCCATGTCAAAGCATTTTGGGCACTTTTTTAGATTGTTCTCACCTAAGTTCTGTTGAAACTTGTTGTATAGCCTACTTAGGGGAGTTTATACTTTGCTTTTGATTGTTGTCGAGAATATCATTCTCTTGTGCTTTGGGCAAAGCTTAATGGCATCTTCAAGTACGTAAGATTACCTGCAGGACCCTACTAGTAGTTAAGCTGATAAAGGTGTTTCTCAGGCTAACCTCGGGTGGACCTAATAATCGGGTTCAGTTCGAATGCGAATTCAAATTCGATTTATTTAGGGTATAATTCGAGTTTGACTTGGATTCGAATAAGTCAATCATAAATATCTTTTTAGGCTCGTTTAAAAAGATGAACCTAAAAGAATCAGTTCGTTTATATGTAAAATAGTCGAACTATTCGAAATAGCTCGACTATTTTTTTAGTTAAATTTGAACAATTTTTTAAGCTCATTTTAAAAAAATGAGCTGGATAAGTTCGACTCGATTATATTACAATTTGAATGAATTTAAACAAATCAAAACAAGCTAAGTTTGAATCGCTCAAATTATTTTTTTTGTTGGCAAGTCTGCAACAAATTAAGGATCAAACTAAGATATTTAAAAATATTTTGATATAATACTAAAAAATAATTTGTGAGTATAGATTTTCTCTTTATTTTTTTATAGCCATTGATGACGTGAATCACAAAGTCAAATAATAAAATAAGATAACTTTATACTTGTATATTAATTTGTATAAATAATGGGGTATTATACCATAATTAGACTCATATTTTTAACACATAAGATCAATATTATTTATATTGTTACTCTTTTAATGTCCAAGACCTATACACAACACAACATGTATTCACTTCAAAGTATATATGCATGACTTTAAAATGTATTACACAATTAAAATTTAAAACTAGTTTTAAAAAAAATATATTAAATATTATAATTATATTATATTATCACGTTAATACAGTATAACTGTTTAATAATAACACGATAAACTTGGCGGAAGGTTTCGAAGGATTGAGACATCACATGTGGAATTGACTCACCCCAAGTCATGTATCAATTTGACTCGATCAATGCTGGCCTCCGACATATGGAATTGGTCAAGGCCGCCCTTCATGGCTGGCTGCAGGGTTGTCAAATTTACTATACTTTTATTTTTTATTTAATAAAAAAGTGATATATATAATTTTTTATTAAAATCAATTATTCTATAAAATTTTTTATTAATTTAAGATCTCATGGGCGATGGCCCACTGACCGGGCCAATGCAAATGACTGTTTTCACACGCGCCACGTGAACCAAACTCTCCCTTCCATGTATGTCAGAACTTTTCTGGTATCTCTCTATTACCTTCCGAGAAAGAAGGCGAGTGGACACAGGAGTCTTCGATCCTACGTCTTTCTCGCTCTAAAACTTACAGAAATATATCTGCTGGTAAAGAAGAGAAAGAGAGAGAGAGATGATTCTAAATCTGACCTCTGTATAATTACGGGTATTTATTGGTTTTCGTTTTTGTGGATGTGTTGGGGTGAGAAAATGGAAAGAATACTAAATTCAGCACCACCCCATCATATGAGTCTCCTTTGACAGGGTAATAACACAACCACCACCGCCACCACAACCACCACCGCCACCTAAATCCTTAAATAGATATATAACAAACAAAAACCAACAAAACCAACCAATATAAATACACTTTTGGTGTTCGTTCTTTGTTTTTCTCCCCCAAGAAATTGTCGCCTATATTTTGTTGTCAAAAGCCAGCGGCAAATAATCTGGGTCCCTTTTGATTCCTTATCCAAAATTTGATCTGGGTTTTGATGATTGTACATGAGATTCAGATCGTCAATGCTGGTTTAGTGTTTTCTTTCCATAACTGGACTGTGGACTTTGGTGTTTTTGTGTGTTTTGTGCATTGAGATTCTGAAATGTGGAGGGACGCTGGAGCTCCTGTTGATTCTTTCTACGAGGTTCGGCCTGAATGTACCGATGTTCCAAAAACCAAGTTCAGAATAAAGGTTTGTCAATGCTTGAAATACCAACTATCGGAATCTACTATGGACATTGATTTGATCATTGCCACCATTGTATCAATTTTATTGAACATGAGTCCACTTTATTATTGTTTATATCTTTAGGATTAATATTAGAGATGACTGAACACTGACTTTTTATTCCTGGCGAATGGCCAAGTTTTCTCATGCTTTGAATCATAATATGTATGCTACCAAGCTTTGTGCCTGCGCTTACGTCGTGAAAAGCGGCCTATAAACCACCCGTGCTGTCTTCATAAGTGAAAATTGTTATAATTTATCGGAGAAAAGAATGATATGCTGGAATATTGAAGTAGTAATTTATTTGTCAGATCAAACTCCTTAAATAGAAGATTACATCAACTAACTTGCCACTAATTTAGGAACTGCCTCATAACAGTAGCAGAGAACTAAGGAAACTGATTAGATTACTGATACTCCTAGCAACAGACTTCTAAAGACTGGGACAACTAAAAAAATAATTTTAATTTATAAAACTAAATTCCTAACACCCTCCCTTAAACTGCGTGTTCTACTGACATTTAGTTTAGAAGAATACTTCACCGGCCCAGCCCCCCCGGCAACTAGTCTCTCTCAGCTTGCTTGTTGCCGAATAACCTTGCAGCTCCCTCTCTCAAATTAGATCATCCATGGAACAAACACCAAGTAGCCTTCGCAGCTTCACAAACATATCCAATTTGAGGGGCTTTATGAAAATATCCGTAACCTGTTCTTCACTTTTGCAGTAGATCAGATCAATAGTGCCATCATTTGCAAGATCACGCAAAAAATGATACTGCACATCGATATGTTTACTTATCCCATACAGAATTGAATTTTTTGAAAGCTTGATTGCTGAACTATTGTCACAATAGATCACAGTTGGGCCTTGCTGAGGACTGTGTAATTCTCCAAAAAGTCTCCTCAACCAGATTGCTTGAGATGCACACGCCGCAGCAGCGACAAATTCAGCTTCAGTGGTTGACAAAGTAATGATTTGTTGCTTCTTTGATGGCCAAGATACAGCCCCAAAGCTCATTATAAATGCATGGCCTAAAGTGCTTCGTCTATCATCTGGATCACCTGTGAAGTCACTATCTATGTAGCCAAATAAACCAGAACTTTCTCCTTTCTTGTAGAATATGCCAAAGTCAATGGTCCCCTGCAAGTATCGAAAAATTCTTTTGGCAGCAAGAAGATGCATTTCTGTAGGATTTTCCATATATCTGCTGATAAGACTGACTGCATGCATTATATTTGGTCTTGTTGCAGTTAAATACATAAGGCTTCCCACAATTTGCTTATATAGAGTTGCATCAACTTTCTTTCCTTCATGGTCTTTGGTAAGCTTCAGCCTAAGCTCAACCGGTGTACCAACAGGATTGCAATTTGCCATTTAAAACCTTTCCAAGATCTCTCGAACATACTTCTTATGTGAGATAAAGATCCCAACAAAGTTTTGTACTACTTCAAAGCCAAGGAAGTAATGCATCAAACCTAGATCAGACATCTCAAACTCCGACATCATTGATTTTTTGAAATCATCAAACATAACACTACTATTTCCAGTGAAAATTAAACCGTCGACATATAAGCATACTATCAACAACTCACCAACAGATCCAGATTTGACAAATAAAGTATGCTCATATAGACATTGTTGGAAGCCTAACCCTGAGAAATATATAGCTATGCAGTTGTACCAAGCTCGAGAAGCTTGTTTCAGCCCATATAAAGCCTTCTTTAGCTTGTACACCTTCTTCACATTCCTGTTTTGGACATATCCGGGAGGTTGATCAATATACACGGATTCTTCCAACTCGCCATGTAGAAACGCAGATTTCACATCCAATTGGAAGATTGACCGCGAGTTTTGTGCTGCCAATGCAAGTACCAATCGAATGGTATCATGTCTTGCAACTGGAGTAAAAACCTCTTTGTAGTCAACACCAAACTCTTGCTTTTAACTTTTTGCAACTAGACGGGCTTTGTACTTGTCAACCTTTCCTTCTGAATTCAACTTTGTCTTGTAGACCCACTTGACACCAATGGACTTTTGTCCTTTGGGAAGATCAGTTAGTTCCCAGGTGTTGTTCTTCTCAATAGCTGTGATTTCGTCATCCATAGCCTTCTGCCATTTTGGGTCTTTGACAACATCTCAAAACATTACAGGATCACAGTCTGCAAACAGTGCAAAATGTGTGAGTGGATCATCTGATTGATCAACTCTACGTACCTCATAATCTTGCATCCATGCCGGTCTCCTTCTGATACGTTCTGGGCAGGATGTGGCTAAAATTTGAGAGTCATCTTCTTCAGACAACACTGCAGGTTGACTTGAAGCGCTGGAATGTTCACCCGCTGGAACTTGAGGATGGCTTTCTTCTTCCTCATCATCAAAGCTCACAGTAATATTCTGACTGGGATTGTTAGAAATGTCTGCCCACATCCTCTCCTCATCAAAAATCACATCCCAACTGATAATGATCTTGCAGGTGATGGGATTAAACAACTTGTAGGCCTTTGACTGCTCACTTACCTCGAGAAAGATGCACTTTTCTCCTTTATCATCCAGCTTCTTCCTTTTCTCGTCTCGTATATAAGCGTATGCTACGCACCCAAAAATTCGCAAGTGATCGACATTCAGTCTTTGACCACTCTATGCTTCCTCAGGTGTTCTATTTCGAACAGCAACTGTAGGACTTCTGTTCAATAGATGAATACTCCACAAGACTGCTTCTGGCCAAAATCTTTTAGGAAGAAAAGATATGTTCAGCATACTCCGCACCATATTTAAAATCGTCTGATTTTTATGTTCCGCTACACCATTTTGCAGTGGAGAGTAAGAAGTTGTAAGTTGTCTTTTGATTCCATGCGTCTCCCAGAAATTTGCAAATTCCTGTGAGTTATATTCTCCACCACGATCTGTGCGTAGAGTTTTAATAGGCTGTCCAACTTCTTTCTCAACAAGGGCCTTATAATTTTTAAATGCTAACAAAGCTTTAGATTTTTCTTGAAATAAATAGACCTATGTTTTGCGACTAAAGTCATCGATAAAGGTAATAAAATACCTCTTAATACCATTGGACGACGGATTAATGGGACCACATATATCGGAATGCACCAGCTCCAACACCTTCTTGGCTTTCCATGCTTCTCCTTTGGGAAAAGGGTCTTGATGTTGCTTCCCAATTACACATTCTTCACAAACACGTGATAGATGATCAATGTGTGGAAGACCAGATACCATACTCTTTTGTTGAAGTAGCTTGAGACCAGAGAAGCTCAAATGACCATAATGGAAATGCCACAACCATGCTGAGTCTTTCAATATAACAAAAAAACAAGGAAGACTGGTATTTTGGATTAATAAAGGGAACATCCGATTTGCTGTCATATTAACTTCAGCAATCAGACCTTTCCTTGAATCCTGAATTAGACATATCTCATCCTTAATGATGATCTCATAGCCCTTTTCTTGAAGTTGACCAACACTCAGTAGATTACTCTTCAAACTTGATACATAGAATACATTTGAAATGGTCTGATGAGTACCTTTAAAGGTCTGAATTTGTACGTTGCCTTTCCCCATAATAGAGATGGTCGAGCCATCTCCAAATTTAACAGATGAACAGTATGACTCATCTAATTCAGAGAAAATAGACTTGTTCCCACACATGTGATTACTTGATCCTGTGTCCAAGTATCACATGCTTTCATGGGACTCCTCAACTACATTGCATGCCATTAGAAGAGAAATTTCTTCCTCCTCTTCAGCAAAATTTGATTTGCCTCCCTTTCTTTTGTGCATCTTTGTCCGACATTTAGAACGGTAGTGACCGTACCTGTTGCATCTAAAGCATTTGACTTTGGATTTGTCAAACACTTTTGATTCATAGTCATCACTCTGCTGATCATCCCGTCCTTTACTGCTACCTTGGTTTTTGTGACCGTACCTGTTGCATCTAAAGCATTTGACTTTGGATTTGTCAAACGCTTTTGATTCATAGTCATCACTCTGCTGATCATCCCGTCCTTTACTGCTACCTTGGTTTTTGTTTTTGTTGTTGCTTCCTTCCTTTCCATGCCCAGAACCCTTCTGTTGCAAAGATGGGTTGTTGGACGAGTATTGCACCTGCAATGCTTGCTCCACTACTTCATGTTGATTAATTTGCTGCTCGTGGACAATCAGCGAACTCATCAATTCTTCAATCAAAAGGACATCAAGATCCTTTGATTCCTCAATTGAGCAGACCACGTAATCGAACTTCTTCGTCATTGATCGAAGAATCTTCTCAACCACAATTATTTCTTCCATCTTTTCTCCACACAATCTCATCTTGTTCACAATAGACATAGTTCTGGAGAAATATTCCTCCACTGACTCTGTCAGTTGCATGCGAAGAGTCTCAAATTGCGAACGAAGTGCTTGAAGTTGAGATCGTTTCACCTTTGCATTGCCTTGATGCTTTTGCTTCATTGCTTTCCAGATTTGTTTTGAAGTATCTTTGGTGAGTATGGTCTCCAGGATTGTGCGATCAATGGCCTGGAATAAGTAGTTCTTTGCCTTCAAGTCCTTCAATTTGATTTCCTCCAGCTTCACTTTCCGAGCGTCCGTCAAAGTGCTAGACTCTATCAGTTCTGTATATCCAACCTCAATAAGATGCCAATACTCTTTGGACCTCAAGAGGTTTTCCATTAGGATGCTCCAAGGATCATAATGACCATCAAATCTAGGTATAGCAGGCTGCACAAATTGCTCCGACGCCATTGAAAGAGAACTGCTATTGCCCAAAAAAACAAGAGGAAGTAGATAAAAGCTACAGCTTTCAACAATTTCTACGTCTCCTTTTTTTTAAGCAAGCTCTGATACCACTGTTATAATTTATCAGAGAAAAGAATGATATGCTGGAATATTGGAGTAGTAATTTATTCATCAGATCAAACTCCTTAAATAGAAGATTACATTAACTAGCCACTAATTTAGGAACTGCCTCATAACAGTAGCAGAATAACAGTAGTAGAGAACTAAGGAAACATATTAGATTACTGATACTCCTAGCAACAGACTTCTAAAGACTAGGACAACTAAAAAAATTTAATTTATAAAACTAAATTCCTAACAAAAATGTCCCCGGAGGTTATTTGCACCATTGGGCGCCCTAGGTTGTTAATCTTGGTTTTGAGGTTGTTTCTGTGGGCTGTGGCATTTTGATTTACAATGGATTGTCAACTGTTTGATGTAAGACATGGAAGTTGAAGACATTAGAAAAATTGGTATCATGTAACCCTAAATCTAGGATGCTGCGGTTTTCTCAACTATCGTGGAATTTTGAATAAAAAGGCATCCAATTCTAATTCTAAATCTTGGTTGATTAGATTTTTGAAAAGAAATAGGGAAGGGTGGGATGGACTTCTATAATTGATGCAGAGAAAAGGTTCAGTTTAAAGTTTTAACTGACATCTGCAAAAAGTATGCTACAAATTAAGGCCTTAGAAGCTGCTACTACTTGTTCATATGTTGTTCCAATGTTCCAACTTCCATGTGGAGTGATGTTAACGAAGAACCTTTGTTCCTCACATTGGGGGTGCCTTGGTGGCAAGAAAAGCAAGAGTGTGCTGTCACTTGGGGACATAGAAGTTTGTCAACTGCCTCTTTTGTTGCCATTGCAGAGTACATTGGCCACGATGACGTGAAAGAGTTTCACACCCTTTATACAAAATTGTAATGTTGTACTCTTCTAATAACCACAGGTAATGTAAGGACCATGATGTCTGTGGTGACTTGGAAGGTCACAGTAGTTTATGAGGAAAGGGTGGGATTATGTTGAGGTGGGTCATATAGGAAAAAGTGACAGGTTTGAAGGGGAAATATAAGGGTAGATCCAGATGGTCATCAGTTCACTTTATGGAATTGAAAGAAGTTGTAAAGTCATTCTTGCTCTTTATAAATTGTAATTCTATTTGAAGTGAAACTTTCATTTGTAGTTATGACACTGTGCTACTAAAAGGTCCACAATAGAGACATGAAGGATGAGGACGAGGAAAATATGTATCTCAGTGAAGCCGCAGTGCATATTCTTGATGTTACTTTGTGCAAAATTGAAAGCTTCATGTAGTCTGTATTTTACCGTGAGAAGCAAATTGCCAAGTCACAGTTTAGTCTCTTCCTCATTCTGGTTAACATTGTACCTCTAGATCACATGATCCTTAGAAGAATCTCAATCTCCTGATCGGAACAAATTAAATTACTCAGGTCTTCTTGATACTTGCAGTTATCCTAGATGACATCCTGAATTGAACATCAACTTCTACAAGAAAAAAACATTTGTTAGGGCAGAATGTATGAAATAAATGATAAAGTTCAGTTTACCATGAAGGAATATTTGCTCTCCTCTTTTTCTTTTTTTGTTTTCCTTTTGCCCTAGAAGATAGGGTCTACCCTTAACCCAAGATGGGAAAATGTAGTTAAGGTTACCAAGAAGAGGAATTATAGATAAGTAGGTTATTAAACTTGATTGGCCCCTTTTTGTCCTCTTGTATGGACTAGATAAGAGATAATACGAATAGGTAGAATCAATTTTTTATCAAAGTGTTGTATGTGTTAGAATATTCTAACCAAAAACAATTCACAACAGGGGAGAAGCCCCTTAAACACATAAACAAACTTGGGTCCAAATCATTCGGTTTGTGATACAAGCTCCCTTTACACCCTTCCCTTTGTAGGGCTACAAACAAATAGACAAACTTCCATACCGGAAAATTCAAATGGAAAAAAGAATTGGTCCACTGATTATCCAAGACTCAACTTTGATACCGTGTTAGAGCATCCAACCTATAACCAATTTGGTAATGAGTGAAGAGACTTTTTAAGCATATAAAGCAACATCAGGTAGTGCTAATCAGTATGTGTGGGATACAAGATCTCTTTACCACCTCTCTCATGTGGGATCCGGACTTGCATGTGAAGTTAACAAACAAACAAACAAACAAACGAAGAATCAGAGTAAATTTGACTAGGTAAGAAACTTGGTACACTAATCACTCTAGGCAGCTCCGTATCATGTTAGAGGATCCAATCCAAAACAAATTGGCAATGAGTGGAGAGGCCCATTAAGCATTTATACTAGCATTTGGTGGTCCTAATTATTCGATGCGGAAAAAAAAAAAAATTTATTCGATGTGGGATAATAGTGTGCATCATTGGACTTGCTCTAGAGGGAAATGGTCAAAAGAGGTACACTGACACTTTTAAACTATTATGGATATAGTTCTTGCATTTTTTGGAGTCTGTCTTGATTTATCTTAGGTTCAACAAATTTTTGAAAGGCAAGTGATCTTATTTAGCATAGTTGATTTGAATTAGGCCATTAATATTGTTAGTTTTTGATTGGTTGTTAAAGCAAAAATTTGTTTTATCCATTAATATTGTTAGTTGTTGATTATCATTTAAAAGATTCGTTTATGTTGTGATGACTAGGATCCTTGTTGGTGAATCAAAAGATGAGGATATAATAAGCTATCCTTCTTCAAAAATTGGTTGTCTGATCTAATGTGCTAGATGTTTTCTCTTCCTTTATTTTTGGTCCCAATTACATTTCCTTTTTTTTTCAAAACCATTTTTTTTTTTTGGGGAGGGAAAGTGGGGAAGGGGACTTGAACCCTTAACCACATGAAGGCAAAGCCTTCATAAGGTAAAGAGTACTATTGAACCAAAGGCTCATTGTTCCCAATTACATTTCCTAGATACAAGTTTAATGCATATAAGAGAAGTATCAGATGACTTGTTTTTAGCAGCTCCCTATGATTTGTTAACTACATTTTCCTCCAACTCTTCTGTTGCACATCTCTATGCCTTATCTTATACCTCTTAGCATATATAGGCAGGCAAGACCCTAAGTGTACGGAAATGGCAAGCTGCATTCACTCCAGAAGGATATCTTGATATAGGGAAGACACTTAGTCGAATCTATCGTGGGGTAAGTTTCTTTGTCATGGTGGAAACTGAGTACATGCTTGTAACATGAATTGTACCTTGCCATTTGCTTCTATTGAAATTATTTTTTGCATTTGACGCGCGAATACCAGTTATGTTTTCTAATAACACTTTTTTTGCTAACTTCATGAAGTAGCTTTAGTTCATTTTCATCTTTTCTTCTCAACAGTATTATATTTTGCCCTTCCCATATCATGGTTACCAAAACTCCGATACCTTGTTAGTTTCCCTATGTAAATTGTAAATTCACACATTTGATGCGCATTGCCAAAAAATATAGCTAGATATTTCAATTTTATATAAGCATTACATCCAAGAATGCAAATAGGCTTTGCCCAAAAGGAAGCTACTTTGACAAATATTTCTATTTAACCGGCAAACGGTGGTATTATTCATCGGGTTCTTGTTTTGTGGCATGTACAGTGAACCTTCTAATCTCATCAATTTACTTTCGGGTATTGTTTTTCACTGGACAATTAAGATATCATTCTCCCAGTATACGGAAAAGTCCATACAAAAAATCTTTGAGTATAAGAAATGTTCATTGTCATAGTGCAAAAGTGATATTACTTCCATTCCAAAATGATGGAACATTCTATCACCTAATTCTGCTTGATTGGATTATTGTTTATGAAGTTATGAACTATCTCAATTGTGACAGCTTTCTTTTTTTCTTGTCAAATTGTCATACACAACAATTTTTTTTTAAATTATTCTTTTTTGTAGATACCCCCAATGTACACGAGATATTCATTCATTTAACATATTCACTTTCCTAATAATTTAAATCAACCATCTTGATGTCCTTGACTTTTTCTGCACTTACCTTATAACTGATTATTGTCTTGTTTACATGCAATGCACCATATTGCATAACTTGATTTGTTGTTCTTGTTTTCTTTCATTTTCCTCTCTTCTACCCATATCTTATGTCCAAAAAATAGTATATCAGGATTGGGAGAGGATCATAAACATTGATCAGCAAAATAAAATCCATGAAAAGTGGCCCACAGTAACAATTTAGTGCGGATATATCAGAAGAAGAATGACACCACGTAATACATTATACATCTAGGTGAATGAAGCATGTCATTTCAGTGTTTTACTATGTTTTATGGATGAGGTATAGTGATATTCAAGCTTACTTGCTTTTTCTAGATAGAACATGGTCATCATTGTACTAATTAATCAAGAAATGGCTCAAAAAATCATCTTCGTGCAACCCTTGGTTAGGGATCATTGTTATGCTGGTGCAATCAATGTATTGTTTCCTAAGCACTTGTTATCATGATTTATTTATTTATTTGTAGTTGTGGTGAGACCAAGTAAACACAAGTTTGTAATGCTTTCTCATTCTCTATATGCTTTTCCCTTGTTTCGTCATTTTTCTACTGTACAATAAGTTGATTTTGAGGGTTAATATATGTGGCAAAATTAGGGGATTCATCCGTCAATTAGGGGAGAAGTATGGGAGTTTCTACTTGGTTCTTATGATCCTAAGAGCACATTTGATGATAGAGAGCAGATACGGCAACGTCGAAGGTAATATTTTCTCCATTTCACTTGTCATGAAGACTATTAATTTGAGGTTTTGGGGGAGCAGAAATTGCACAGGATGTGCACTGAGGAACCCATTTTACCATGGGTGACATTTTTTGATGTGCATCAAAGATCTAACATAAAAGGTCAAATTGTTGAATGGGAATCATGGCTGCAATTCTTGTGGCATTGTTTAGATGTATGACACATGACAGGCTGCAGTATATGTTTATCAAATTAAATTGTGACTGTACAACCCTACGGGATAATATCAATTTCTGCAAACAATTTTCTTCTTAGGTATTGAAGTTTTCAGCTTCTTAGCTGTTGAAAAATATTTCCCTTGTTCTTTATGATTTTTCTTGCTAAATGGTTGTAGTTTCAGAATTTTAAGTGGCTTGTTTTAGAATTCCTGCACAATCTATCTTCCATTATAATTGTCTTAGAGAACCACCCTTCTTTCCCCTTCTCCCATTCTTTTTGCATGACTATATCTCACAGTTTGTTGTTCTGATGAGTGTGTTTGAGACAACTCAGACTTTAAAGAGAATTGTTTGACTTTGTTACGACATATATGGTTCTTCTTCGCCCCAAAACAAAACATCATTGTATCCTTTAGCTGAAATACCTAATTCTTTTTCCATCCAAGCCTAAGTTGTAACTCCCATAGTAATGTACTATATGTCATTCTCTTGTCTACACCTTCAGGGCGCAATATGCTTTGTTGAAAGAAGAGTGTCACCAAATGTTTCGCCTTATTGGAAGTGGGAGGTTTATCACTGCCCCCATAATTACTGAAGATGGTGAACCTATTCAAGATCCCGTGGTACTTAAGGAACTGGCATCACTTCCTCAAGAAAATGGTAAATCTGAAAAATTCAAGTTACCTACTGGCTGTGTATTGTATGCTAATGCCTTAAGTGTGCAAATACAGCTGCTTCCAATGGTTCCGAACTGGAAAAAGGGCTGCCGGACAAGAAAGTAATTCAATGGAAGCTTACACTACATCAAATAGGTTGGTGATTCATGCAATAATTGGATGCACACTTTGTTTCGAATTTTGGTCTTACCTATCTATTTCCATTTCTTTTGCTTATTTACAAGTGATTGGGCATGTAAAGGAGTTAGGTAAATCCAACATTCCTCCTATGGTAGTAAATATTGCTTAATGACATAAGGTGGTCCCATCATTTAACTTCATGGCATGTACATTATTTCAAGATTGTGGTTTAGCCAAGATTTTCAAGTTTTAGATCGATTGCCATCTCTGAGGATGAATAGGATTGCCTAAAGTTTTCTAGTTGTCCGTTTTATTTTTTGTTATAACATCTTGTCATCTATATTTACTAGACAGGGATCATTGCCTAGTGGAGGGGCAAAATGTTCAGGTAGTTTACCTTAAGAAGTGTGTGAAAAAGGAAAAAAAAACTGTAATCATGGGTTCGAATATGAATACAACCATTCTGTCAATTCTAGGTCTGTATCTTATCCCTCGTTCCCCATGCTCTCTTCTAACGAGGACCATTAAGGCATGCCAAAAGCAACTGAATAAGGCTTCGGTATCCATATCTATATATTGAATGTGGACCATTCTTAAAAAGATTCCGTTATCATTTAATCAAAAGTGATTTCCTTCAACTGTTGGGATTTTTTTTTGTGTGTGTGTGTGGGGGGGGTGATACAAACACAAATCAGTTTTCTGGTGGGCTTAGGTTGGGAAAAGCTGGTAGAGTTGTGAGTTTAAGCGGCGAAAGAGTTGTTTTAGACTTTCTAGGGATGGAGAATGAGTCAATATTGGTTTGGTGAGGGAGTTTTGAATTACTAAAAGTGTAGAAAATCAGGTCCTGGAAGTTTTGAATAGTATGTATCATAGTATCTTGGGTGTTGATTTGAATGTTAAAAGGTGAAGGAATGGTTGGGCATTATTACAGCTTAGTACCATTGAATCTATATTAATAAGGCGAAGTAGAAGGAGAAGAAAATCTAGTAATCCTCCTAAATTTCCCTTGATGACCCCCAAGGTAATGCTGAGAAGACTCTGGGAGCCTTTTATGTTTTTTTCCCCTCCAAGTTATGTGGAATAACACTAAAGAAATCACAGATATGTCCTTAACAATAAAATTTAGAATTTACACATCTCCATGAGTTGTTGAAACTTACTCTGGTCTGGCTTCCTTCATGTTTTAAGTTATCCTTCCTCTCATTTTTCAAGAAAGAAACTTGCTTACTCATGCACAAGAAACCTTTATGCTGCATAGACATGGTTATTCAATAACCAACAAAATTAAGACAGAAAATTATATTAAAACAGGTTTATACCACATGATCAAACTGTTGTTTCCTTATGGAATGCTTTGGTCTCTGTTTTTGTTTGAGGTTCATAGCATCAACATCACCTCTGGTGCTAGGTCATTGCAACATATTTTCTTTCTACTTGGAAAGGATCATTTATTAACTCACTTATGGAAGATCTCTTATAATTCAAGATCTTTTGTGATTACATCTAGTTTGTAACGCTGCAGCCTTGACTTATGCTAGGTCTCGATGTGGTTCGCACTGACAGGACACTAGTGTTTTATGAGAAGCAAGAAAATTTGTCAAAGCTTTGGGATATTCTAGCTGTCTATGCCTGGTTTGACACTGAAGTTGGCTATTGTCAAGGTGGGTACTTGAATAAATTTTTATCTACTGAAGGCTTCAATAAAATGAGGAACTTTTATTCTGATAATATTTGGCTCAATCCAAGAAATCCTAGCCTCCCCCCCCCCCCCACAAAAAAAAAAAAAAAAAGTTCCATTCACTTCACTTAGTTTTTCGTACCTCAATAAATATGGCACATATGAATGTACCTAAGTGAGGATGTTAACATGGACATGTGATGAGACAAGAAAAGATGAAATTAAAAATTAATATATTCATGAGACAATCAAGAGCTGGCACCAGTTGAAGATCATTTGAGAGAAAAATAATTAATTTGGCTTGGATAAGTGAGCGGTAAGTAAGAGTGACATGATCACTAGTAATCAAAATGATAGGAAACTATTAATATGAAGTAAGTTAATCAAGATGGATCCAATAACATGTGCTTTAGCAGGGAATAGTGTTCATAAGTAGATTGGAATTTAACAGGGGAATAGCGTTGATAGAGTAGATTGGCGAAAAGGATGGATTTAACTGCCCTCATATAATTTGGTATGAAGGCTCAATTTGGTTATATTGCCATCTGCATAAGAGTAGAATGGTCCTGGAACATGTATTTGTTAAGTAAATTGTTCTGTAGAATACAGTATATGATCTTCAATGTTATGATTCGTGGTTTTGAATAAATAATGCAAAATATTGTATGTTATGATTTTTCAGTTCTAAATATTGATACAATATTTCAATTGCATGGCATCTCATCCTTGTTTTTTAAGCAATATGATTGCTAAGAGGTCATTAGCCAATGCTCATCACCTCAGTTCAGGAAAGTCAGGAGTAAGTTAGTGCCAATGCATGTGAGGGATATTCTTCAAAAGACTATTATCTGTATTCTTTATGATTGTTTATGAAACATTCAAACCAATCGATATCCAAATACTTTTGGTTGAAATGTAGGATCCCAGTATTGAAATGGCGATGATGACTCCTTTTTATGCTAATTTTTTCTAATTCTAAGTTACATATATGTAACCACACAAATTGAATGTGCTTCCATGTTCCAACATGCAAAAACCTTTTTGGCTGGTGTATGTTATAGTTAGATTTATTCATAGGGTCAACGTTTCAGTGTAGCAGGAGTTTAATGCTAGTTTATTTAAATTTCAATAAAATTTCTGGTTCTGAAGTTGAACTTTATGCATATGCCGAGCAGGAATGAGCGATCTTTGCTCCCCCATGATCATTCTTCTTCAAGATGAGGCTGATGCTTTTTGGTGCTTTGAACATTTGATGCGCAGACTGGTACATACTTGAAAATAATAGATGGACTGACTTTAATTTTCAATGTAGCATACTTAAATTAAATTAGAATAGTTTAAATGAATTTGAGTACATTTGCTTCGAAAATTAAATGTTCTTGATAATCATGTCGTGATGACAATGTTAATCATGTTGCGATGACAATGTTAAGAACTCAATATGTTTGTTTGTTTGAGTTTGCCTTAACTTTCCATTTTAAAAAATTATGATTGCCTGAATATTTGTATTAACTTATTGAAAATATTCTTTCCATTATCCTTTCTTCTGCCTTTATTTTGGAGTTTTATCATCACATAAGCTTGGGACTGAAAAAACACTCATTAAAATGTTACTTGGTTCTTTGGTTACTTATTGTCTAATCATTGGGGTCCTTAAAGAATGTGATTTTTGTGATTTTAGTCCTTATTCCTTCAAAATTGTCAATTTAGTCCCTCAGTTTTGATTTGGTCAAAAATGATAGTTTAAATCTAACGGAAGTAGTCAAGAGTGTCTCATGTGGCCGCATTTGAGGGGAATGTAGTTGGGTGGATAGATCTGACTGTTGCATGATCGATTGTTATTACGACCTTCAACAAAGAGGGGTGATCAACAAGTTCAGACTCTTTTCTCCAATAGTATTATTTTGGTCCTCATTCCTTCAATTTTTTCCCTCATGTGAAACTCATTTGACCACCTATGTTAGTCAATTTAAACTGCTATCTATCCTTTTGAACCAAAGGGACACAAATTTGAAATTTGAGGAATTAGATTGGCTAAACGAGGATCAAGAGACACAAAGTGCATACTTGTGTGACCATTCTGTATTCTTCCCCTTTCCTTTGTTGTATTGTCTCAATAAGAATCATTTTATCCTTTGAGATCTAGTTATGTGATTTTGCATATACGCATTCATCTAGATCTAGAGTATGCAAAAGAAAACAGAGATTTTGGCATTTAATAGCCTAAAAGTCCTCTTTCATTGTGCACCAACAAAGTTCTTGCATGTTCCCCGACGGTGGCTCAATAACGAATTAGATATTGCCATGCCATCATCATAACTAAATCCTGTAACTGTTAGCGTCACATGATGAAGGTTAAAATAGAATAAGGGGCTCCAAAGTCATTTCTCTTTCAGCTAACGGGGCAGGAATTTCTATATTAGGAATTGGGATCTCATCTGATTGGTGAAGTGGATGACAATCATTTTTTATTGAATGCATTCAGGCTTCTTTTTTGTTGTGTCCCTATCAACTATCAACCAGTAATCCCTGTCACCCTGAAGAAAGATCTATGTTCCAACAGAAGCCTATCTTCAGACATGAAGAAAAAAATCGAATGTGAAAAGATCACACAAATGATGGATTGGGATCAAGTATCCAATAAATACTCAAGCAAGTAATGCTAATTGGTCATTATAGGTAATTGTGGCCTACACAGCTGATGGGTTGCATATAGAAGATTACATTACCATAGATCGAATTTTTTTCCAACAAACTTTTACCATAAAAAATGGATGCCCATTTCATAATATCCTTGAATCTGATCTCCATGCTTTGCGCAGCCGCTCACATCATCCTATGCAAATTCATATTGCTCATGCCACAAAACACTATAGGTAAAACATTTATTCATATATAAACATATTAAGAGTGATGCTCTAACCTATAAATGTGCCTGCTTTTTCCAGTGCTCTCTTTTGAGCCTCAGCCAATCATGGATTTATACGACCGCATGTGTTTTTAGTACATTATTATGTACGTATTTACTTGAGCCCTGTAACTTCGTGATTGTACTTATGTTTTCTTTTTGTTTCTTCAATTCAGTTGTATAAACTAATTGCACAGGAAATGCATAAACTATAAATGTCTCACATAGTTGTACTGGTCTGACGTCTTTTGTTGGAGAGGCAGAAAACATTATTCTTTTATATTCAAGTTTTTCTCATTGGAATTTTTTTTTATTTGTTAGGAAAGTTCTGCAATTCAATGCCCTAAATGCAGCCTTAACACTGAGATTCTATTTTTTGTTATTAAGTCTCTTATTTGTTCCAGTTCCTTGACTGCATCTTTCTTTTCACAAATAGTTAAATGATTTACTGTTGTGGTCTTTATTGTTTGTATTTGATCTTTGTTACACTTCTAAAATTGTATCAATAGTGATATTTTTGTTATTTGAAATTGTAAAGCGAGGAAATTTCAGATGCACGGAGAGATCAATCGGGGTGGAGGTGCAACTTGGTACTTTGGCTTCAATTACTCAAGTTATTGATCCTAAGCTTCATCAACACTTAGGTATCCTCTCTTAACTATTGTTAGTCAATTCCTTCATATTCTTGGTCAATGTCAAATTTTGATCAAGTGAAATCACAATCTGTCACTTTATGAGCCTTTTAATATTTGCACATCATCTCATGATAATGTACATAACCTAACATGTAATAATATCGTATCTTCTGATTGTGGATCACAGAGACCCTAGGTGGAGGTGACTATCTGTTTGCTGTCCGGATGCTTATGGTTTTGTTTCGTCGAGAATTTTCTTTTGGTGACTCATTGTACCTTTGGGAGGTACGGTTTAATCGCTATTATACTTTTAAATGCTTTAATCAAATTTATTAAATGCCATAAATAATTAGGTAGTTCATGCATTCCTTGAAAACGTTCCAGATAGTTAAATTGTGGTTTTTCCAGAATTCAGTCTCTTCTTTTCTTTTCTTTGTTTCCCTAAAAAATTCAAATAAATGCTTTTTTCCCAATTTCTACAGAAACTGTGTGGTGTTGGACTTGTTCTTGTCAATCTGAAAATTGGAAATTAGTTTTAATTGAGCTAGAAATCTATTAGATTCTGACAGGATGGTTTTAAACCTTTCTTTTGGTAAGTTTTCTCAACCGTTCACCAAAATGTAATTGTTCTTCATTGGCATTGCTAGTCTATTGTCTTGAAGTCAACTTCTTTGGAGACATTAATTGGTTATACTATTCTTTCTGTTTCCTTTGGTTTATTAGAAGTTTGCTACTCTTTCTAATAGTTTTCTGGTTGTTATACATCAAAACAGATGATGTGGGCTCTGGAGTACGACCCTGACTTATTTTCTGTGTATGAAGACGGTGAATCAGCAAGTGAAAACTCTGAGGGGTCCAAAGGAAAAGTGAAGTCAATACGCCAATGTGGGAAGTATGAGAGAGAAAATATGAAGAATGGGTCCAAAAGTGCTCAAGCCCCTCTCCCCATATCTGTTTTCCTCGTGGCTAGCGTCCTCAAAGATAGAAGCTCGAAATTACTGACAGAAGCTCGGGGACTGGATGATGTTGTTAAGGTCAGCTTGATGAGATTATAAATATAAATACGGTATAGGCCTCCAATTGGAGAGTAATTATATGCATGCTTAATATAGGCAGACAGGCACAGCACATGGAATGGAATAATAGAGAAAAGTTGCCAGTGTGGAGCAACATGTATCTTCATCTAGTAGCATAGATTATTGTCCTTTCTATTAATTTTTTTCGGAAAGGGTTATGGAGCTGGTTTTCATCTTCTAAATATTACATAAGCAAGTAGACTTCAGTAGTATGAATCACTTTTTTTATGGTTGAATTTCTTAAGCCTCGACAAAAATTACACGATATTAATCTCATCAGTAACTTAATTGAATACTGAAGTTCAGGCTATGTTATCTAGTCTCATTTTCAGAATATGGTGGTTGCTGAGCAGTGTTTGGGTCATGATTTTATGTCCACTTTGGTAGATATTTCCCAGGGAGATTAGTGGAACATCTACAAAGGATGTTAATTGTTTCTGTTCTTGGTATATATATGTAAGCGTTTTCAATAAATAAATAAAAAAAAAGATACATTTGTGCCGTTTTTCAACTTATGCTGCTGCTTTATAGCTTTTTTCTGTCATTCATCTTATTTAGTTTTCTGTTCCTGTGAAATGCTTCAGATACTGAATGACATAACAGGAGATTTAGATGCCAGAAAAGCTTGCAGTGGCGCAATGAAGCTTCACAAGAAGTATCTAAAAAAGGTAGATTATTTCTTGGAGTCTTGGGTGCATTATACAGATGTTGCGTTCAATTAAGCATAGCTAAAACGCTTTCTCTTTTTTTTAAAAAATTCACTTGAATCCTTCATGTATGAACTTCCAACTGAAATTGCGAGATGTTTAGTTCATCAAATCAGTCTTTTTTTTTTCTTTTTAGTGGATTTTGTTTTGAACTTCATTTTCTATTTACGAATTTTTTGCTTCGTTTCTGGTTTGAACATATGACTTGACTATATAATGTCAACTTGCTTTCATGTTATGCTACTGCAGGCTAAGAAGACATGACATCGAAATGAAATTTAGAATTCTGCCCGACACAACTGAATTTTTCGCCCTGTCAAGAAACAATGGCTGCTTTTTTTTTTTTTCGCACGCTGCTGCTTGATTTAATGAGACTCTCATATTCTTCAAGAAAAAGTTTGATCTTGGCCAAATACTGGGGGAGGTATTCAGGGAAATCAATCTTCATTGTATGTATATTGAAAAATATTCTCTTTAAGGCATTATATGAAACTGTGTTCTTGTACTATGTATTATTGTGTTGCAATTGTTCTATGAAATAAAAAGGAAAAAAGCAAGTTGTTGAGTTTAAATATTCTTGAAGTTATTGTCTTTTGATTACAATGTTTGGGAGCCTTATGGTCTATCTGAAATGGTTGCAACCTACTTGATTTTGACCGTTCAAAAGCAAGATGGCGCAATTTTTTGTTTTTTTTTCCCTCATAAATTTTTTTCAACGGTCAAGAATGTCCAAGTCAATTTACGTATAATTCAATTAATCATTTTCTCTCATAATTCCATCAAATTCTCAAATCATGCCAAGTTATTAGTAGGGGCATAAATCAAGACAAGTTACTAGGGCTTGACTCGGATTTGACTTAGATAACACTCGATTTAAGTTCGACTTGTGTTTTAAACGAATTAAATTTAAACAATTTTTTAAAGTCTTTTAGAAAAAAAGTCTAAAAAACTCAGTTCAAGGTCGCAAAGTATTACTCGTTTATATATAAAATTGTCAAGCTACTCGGATTCGAATTCGGCTCATTTTCTAAAAAAGCTAAGTTTTAACAAATTTTAGGCTCGTTTAAAAAAAATCTCGACAAACTTGAATTTAAGTTTGCAAAGCTCGACTAAATTAACACTCATATTTATTAAATTATTTTTTCATAAAAAAGAAAGGTAAAGAGAGCCTTCTGACTATATCTAAAGACTCTTAACTTGTATTGAGTCTCAACGGGTTCGTGTCAAAAAATTATTTTACTCATATTCGATTCATTTATTAATTCGTATCTAAGGAATCGTGTCATATTGGGTTCGTGTCGTATATAATTCGTGTATAATCGGTATATAAACGAGTCATGTCGTGTATTTATTTTGTGTTGATTCATTGATACTTGATTCGTTTATTAATCGTGTCGGGTCCACCCATTTACTATTTGAATGACTTAAGAAAGATTCAAACCCTCTAATTTCATGTTTTGTTCGTATTGTGTTAACGGGTCGTGTCAAATTTTGATAACCAAGTCTTATCCATGGATTACGCTGAAATATTTATAGTTTCCGTTCTAACTAAGGTTAAGCATTAAAAAAAAAAAAACCCTGAATTCAAACTCAATTTGTAGAGTGGAATTTTTTTTTTTTTAAAAAAAGATAAATCAGATAAAAATTTCAAGTTTATTTTCCAAAAATAAAAAATCAAGGGTTTAAGGTCCTAAGAAAGTCTCAAAATTTGTAGCCTCGTCCACTTATGAATCTCCATAGAAGAACACAAAGATGTGTAACTATCAAACTTCATCAGGCAACTTCCTATAGAATTCGTGTTCATTTGCATAACAATAACAATAACGCCTGATCATCTTGCTTAACCCAAAATCAAAACAATGCAACTCTCACAGAAGCTGATAATTTTCAGGTTGGAGCAGAATTGAGGCGAAAACTCTGAATGTTAATCAATGGAATCGATCCACCATTCGCAGAAAGGTCATGACAGCAATGAGAACTGCCGGAAAGAAACCAACCCGAGAACGATTCGCCCCGCTTCTACTAGGTAATTCTGTGGGAAGAGCACACTCTTCGCCATTGAAGATCAGTTTTGTTGGAAATCCATCACCTTTAGCTACATTTATACCAGGAGTGTGTTTCTTCAAAAATGAAATCACAGATTGTTGTTTTCCAGGCACTCTTGGATCAGTATCAGGATGAGTCCCATTCACCTCTCCCACCAAGTAATTCAAACCAGGTAAACCTTGCATGAAGATGGTATCGTTGAGCTGAGGCAGCTTTGTACCATTGAAGGAGTAGACATTTTCATAACCAGGATAAGCTTTCTTCATTTGAATTGCTGTGAACCAATCTTCAAAAGAGTAATCATCCCAATTGAAGAGTGTGATTCGAGCTGTCCAACCAGTTTTGTAATCTGTATCTATGTGCCAATTTATGCTAACCCCACAATTGTCTGGACATGGCAATGGATTAGGGACTTGATGGTGCTTGATTCTAGCCCATGCTTTCGCCTTGGCCGTCCGGTTATCAAAAGGCACAAGAAGAGCTTCCGGTGGTAGAGGCATCGCCGGTGCGTTCGGGTTGCAACGTTGATTGTCGTCACAACCACAAGCACAAGTCCGGCAAGGCACGACGGAGTTGGCAAAGTAGGCCGAGAAGGAGACACAGCACCGAGCCTGCTTGGTCTTGGGACGAGTAATGTTGCAAGTCACTTGCCAACTTGCAACAGCATTACTTGTTGCAGCTAGCCCACTTGGGTCTGGAAATTCTGTAGGATCAACCCTAATAGGAGGACCACATTTATAATTCGGATTCAATACGCCATTGATCTTCCAGTTCTGTGGTGGATTAAGAGCAGTTCTGTTCAAATCAGGTGGAAGTTTAAACACTTCCAACTGGAAAATTGACCTCGCCTTGGTCTCATTCATGGTGGTTGGTAACAAAGTTCCATTCCTGCAACAATATGGCAATTTCCCAACCTTTTCGTCATCTTTTTTAGTGGCCGGCAAGTCGGAGATGACCGGATTTTTCTCACAGTTCATGACAGATGAGAAATCAAAGTCCTTGTAGTACTGTCCAGCCGCACCGTAAATACATTCAGAAGGGTCTTTTTTGTGAGTGTAGGCTCCTTTCATGCTGTTTATGAACTCATTTCTCATCCATTCCCATGTCAAGTTCCAGTGATCAAGACGACCAAGAGGATTGATGTTATCAATGGTGACTTGGGCTTGATACTTACCTTCATAAGCTTGAAGAACGTCGTATGTGAAAGATAGATCTCCATATTGGCGTGGCAAGAACTTTGTTTTGATGACTTTGGCCTTGTATTTTGGGTTTCTTACACAGCAGACGTACATGTAAGATGCTGCAAAAAAAAAAAGAGTCAAAGCTAGTATGTGGATGTTGCCTTCAAATATGTCAAAAATGAACATACAACAAAGCTTTATTGGCAGCCATATCTTAAAAAAAATATAGGAGACTCTGAATACAAAACTCTCGTCACTCCAGAATTTAGGGAGGGTCAAATGTATGCAGTCTTATTTCGCATATGAAAACATTGTTTATACTACTCAGACCCTATAAGCCTTTATTTTTTTTTTCATTTTGGTTACTAATTCAAATCAGAGGAGTATATCAATGATCAATATATTATTGAAATTTACCAACATTTTGAGAAAAACATTTTAAAATACCTTGGTTCAAAGCCCTGATAAATCCACACTTATCCAATGGTTTAAAAGGTTTACAAGTTTTTTGATCTAATTCGTTTATTTTAATTATGGCTTAGATTTCTGAACCAAAACCATTCATAATGAGTTATAAAAGATATGAAAGGAAAATAGAGGGGATTTGAAACCTCTAAATTTCACATTTTATCAATTTTAATTAAGTTCAATCCTTAAATAAAGCAAGTCCAAGTAGTATTTCCATAAAAATCAACTGCGTTAATTATTCTTTGCCCCTCAAATTATGAGATTTGTATCACTTTGTCCTCTTGAATTGGATCCCAATGCCCAAATTGCATATATATATATATATATATATATATATATCAATCAGCATAAAATGAAATAATTTTTCATTAAATTTGAGTCTATTCACTCTCTACTTTTCACTCTATATATTTGGGATACATCTTCCTACCATAATAAATAAATGCCCCGAGTACTAGATATGACATTTAATCTAAGTATATTCACTCTATACTTTTCTTTAACTAGTTTATTAACTTAAATATTTGAGTTCCTTTGATCGCTCCTGGCCATCGATTTATAAGTGTTTTCTTGTCTTATAAATTTAGTAAGACAACTTCACCACCCTCTCTGTATATACGAGGTGTGGCTTTCTATGTGAAATTATTCTCGCACAAGTATTATGGGACCCATAACTAGTCCATTAATTATAATAGATTAAATAAATAAATTATGTTAACAAATTAAATTAAAATAGTATCATTGTTCCAAAAATTTCATTCATGAAAGGCCTCCATAGCGTATGTGTTCAATCAATTCATGCATGATGTTTTACGTACCGTGACGCTTTGTTGCAGGACACTTATACCCATCATTCACAAGCTTGATCGTCTTCGGCATGGGAACACCAGGCGGCTTCACCCCGAACTGCGTCCCCTTCATCTTCACCTGCACCTGCATTTGATTCACATCCCCAGCTGTATCAATTGCCGTCTTCAAATCCGACTGTGGATAACCAGCAATATGAGTCCCATTGTTCCCAACCCTCGCCGGAAAATCTTCTCCGTCGACAATGACAGCCCCATCTGCCGAAACCAGTATCTCTTCATGCTGAAATCCCACGTATATCTTCCATGACTTGAGCTCATAAGCGCCGGCGTTCAAGACCGTCGCCATGGAACTGAACGCCCATGATTGTGCAGACGCGTTCTTCACGTGGGGGAACTCCTTTTCTCTCTCTAGAAAGGTGTACGACACGAAGATACCGTCGCAATTCTCTTGCTCCGGAGGTGGCGCCGCTGGGTTGGTGGTGTCGCCTTCGTAGTCCTGGGCCTCGCATGTTTGAAGATTAAAACAAAACAGGAATAGCACTGCAATGCAAGATACCACCTTCCATGGTATTTTCATACCGGTAGCAATTGTTTTTTGTATCTTCCGATGCAATTTTTGTTGAAGCTACGTTCTCAAGGAAGGTTTGATCACATTAGTGGAGGGGAAGAGGAGGAAGAGAGAGATGGGGAGGAGGCCGAGCAGGGCGGAGGAGAGGTGTTGATGATGGTGTTGATAACGATGATCACGGTCACCAGCCAAGGCCGCGTGAGAACACACGGCGAAGGAGGTGATGAATGAAAAATGGATAGACTGAAGAAGAAAACCATGTTTGAGACTGCCAACAATTGGCTTATAATAGAAACAGAAAATAGTAAGACTTATTCAGCACCATTCTCTTCCTCTAGTTTTAACGACATATTTGGAGGAGGAGGAGAGAGAGAGTAATTCAGAGAAAAGGAGTTAGTTTTCTGGTAACTAGGGAGGGGTATTGTATGGGCTGCTGCATATAAACTTTATTAATGTTAATGAATTGAGGGAGATTTTGGTGTTTGTTGCAGTGGCATGCATGACAAATGTTTAGTACGGGTAATTCTAAATTTTAATGTTTGATGGGATACGTAGTCAATCAAAAGTTATAATAAAATTAGATTAATCAATTAAATTTCAATAACATTGCTCAAAATTATTCGGCTAGTATATTAAGTCTCCGGTAGGATATTAATTAGGTTAGTTTTTTTTATTTCAATAGTAATATTTGTTGGGTTTGTTTAGTAAAAGAAATGATTGTACTAATAACTAATATAGATTAATTTTATATAAGTCGATAAAATACAAGATTAAGTATTAGATAAGAATAATACCCACTGTAATTAGTAAAACATATGATTAAGAGTGGGATTATAGAGAACTACTTACATATTGACTAAATAATCATTAATATAACCTAGTTATTTATATTTTTGTTTATTTGCCGGGTAAAATAGTGAATTATAACCTAATACAGTTGAACTACATTATAATACCACCTCTTTAGGTGGTCTAAAAATTGGCTCAATAATACGGATAGAGCGTATTATTTGTATATATATTTTATACATATATAAAATAAACTTAGGATTGACCCAACTACTTTTGATAAATGAAACGAATATTCGAAATATTCTTGCATCTTTAAAAACCTGAATATTAACCCAGAAAGCATACAATCATGCATGCCTTGATTGACCCATCTCACACAATCTGTTAATGGCTGTGCATTTGGGTGAAATTGCCTGCCCCCATTTTGGTTCATTTTGTGAGATGTTGGGAGATGAGAGTCCAGTGATACAGACTCCAATATATATATATATATGTGTGTGTGTGTGTGTGTTTAAAACACGTACCTACTTAAAAGTTTAATCTTATGGGTAGGGAGCACATCCATTGCATATTAGGACATTTTATACTTATTTGAGTAGGGTTATTCTCACCCCGTTAAATTATAAATCATAAAATTACTAAGTCAACTCTCATCTATATTCACCCCATTAATAACTAAATCCACCCCATTTTATATTCACCTCATTAAAACTTATCTCAATCTTTATTTTTAGGGTTTCTTTTTATACCTTATCTTTACACTAGGAGTGGCAATTCTTGCCACAACCCACTAACCCGCCCAATCCGCTCATAAATTAATGGATTGGGTATTTATTTTTATTAATTTGGGTTAAAAATGGATTGAGTACTATTATTTAGTTTAAATTTATGGGTTAAATCAGGTTTAAAATATTTAGCATTGGTTTCCTTCTTAAAAACTAATTAATCATAAATACACATAAGCCCCACCTCTCCAGTTGTTAGACGGAGTCTCTTGACGCTACTGACTACACTGCTTGTCTAACCACTGCTGCTCTCCGACTGGAATTTGACTACTCCGACCTGGAATTCGGCTATTAAATCTTACATCTCCCCGTCATTCAAGCTTGCAAAGTGAGTCCCCTCCAATTTTATTTATTGAAATTTCCCAAAACATTGTCTCGGTGCATCAAATGCCCCACTTTTTTTTTTTTTTTTTTCCCTTTTCTACCTCTCTGTTAGCATTAGATTTGTTTTTCTTGGATTGGATATTGAATTACTTGAGTTATATTTTTTGACCAGTTGTGACATTCCTACAACATGTTTCATGAAATGCCCAAAAGCTATTGAGGCATCACTGCTTAGTTCTAATGCTCCACCCTCTCAAAACCGTAGGTTCATTGGCTGTGATGCACTGTTGTTCCATGGCCTTTCCGCTAATTTCATGTCAATCATAAGCCATATAAGGCAAGCCTAACTATATGCCATTGGTTAAAATCTAAATCACATCATTGGCTAATTTCTTGAATAGTGCCAATTGGCTTGTGAGACATGACCCTTCAAGCCTTTTGCTCATCTTCCAAACTGCCCTGCATTCGCATTTATAGGAGAAATGGGTTTTTGTGCTTTCGCAACAGCGTACCTGTAATCTATTCCACCAGTTTGCAATAAAAGAAGAATTAAAAACCACTGAACTGGAAGGCCTCATGAACTACGGAGAAATGTTACAGCATAATCACCAGGTAGCTATAAACATAGATTTACATTGGCAGCCCAGATACTAATAAAAAATGTAACAAGAAATAGTTATCGAAACTAGTTATGAGGGAAGTAGTGTGCATGATATCGACAGATGAATTTTTGATGCTGTGTCAACCTAAAAACTCATTCTAATAAAAATCTTACAGCTGCTTTAAGAATCTTGTTGAGATATCTGAGTTTTTGGAAAGCAAATAGGACCCGATATCCAGAGCTTTCATTGATGGCCCATGATATGTTGAGCATTCCCATTACTACAGTTGCCTCAGAATAAGCTTTTAGTATTTGCGGTCGTATCATTGAAAAATATCGTAGTTCAATTTTGCCGAAGAATGTAGAGGCATTATTATGTACTCGAGATTGGGTACATGGTTTAGAAGGTAAAATTAACTCTTGCAATTTCTTGCTAATATTATAATTAATTGTTTTGAGATTTACAACATTAGAATTTCATGTTATGCACTTGTTTTAAGCAATTCAAGAAGATTCAGATGAGGAGGAGGAATTTGCAATTGGCATTGAGAAATTAATTTCTGGATTTGGTGGCTCTTCAAATGATGTGGAATGAAGTTGGTGTGGAACCTAATAATGATGCTGAAAATGGATATGAAGGTTTTTTTTGTGATTATTGTGAACTTGATTCAACTTTTCGTTTAGTTTTTACTTTTGGGACTTATAGTATAATCAATTTTTTTGTTTTGGTTTAAGATACAGAAGGTTCGTCAAAGAAAGAAGTGAAGTTTGACACAATATTTGACAATGAATAGCATGTCTTATAGTAGATTTTGTAATGTTCTTTTTAAACTTGTCATAAGGAGACATGATGCTATGGTTATGTGTATCTTTTTTTGGATTATTTCTTGTTATCATGAAGGATTGCTATGAATTATTAGTATGAAATATGTTATGCGATGGAATAGTAATTGTATTTGTGTTTTTATTTTGTCAATGTGTAAGAGTTTGTATGTCCCATTGTATTAAGATTGTGTGTTTGCGAGCGGCATTGTGTATATTTTTTTGTTGATTAGTGTGTGTTTATTTTGGTGTAATAGTATGTGTGTGTGTATTTTAGTGTAATAGTATGTATGTGCATGTATGCATGTATTTTGGTGTAGTAGTATGTGTGTATTTTGATGTAATATTGTGTGTGTGTATGTATTTTGGTGTAGTAGTATGTATGTATTTTGTGTAGTGTGTGTATTTTGATGTAATAGTGTGTGTGTGTATTTTGGTGCAAGTGTGTGTATGCATTTGGTGTAATAGTATATGTGTGTGTATTTTGTATTAATTGTATGTACATGTATGTGTATTTTGTGTAGTATGTGTATTTTGGTGTAAGTGTGTGCGTATTTTAGTGTAGTACTGTGTGTATAATATGTGTGTGTATTTTGGTGTAGTAATGTGTGTGTATTTTGATGTAGTAGTGTGTGTTTATTTTGGTGTAATTGTGTGTGTGTGAGATTTATGGGTTTATGGGTTTAACCCAACCCGTTATAAACTCAACTTATTATAACTTATTTACTATGTGAGTGAAAAATAGATTGAATTTATTTTAGTCTAATCCAATTTAACTCAATCCACCCCATTTGCCACCTCTATTACACAATCTATACAAAACATATTCAACTAGATTATCTATTAAAACTAAACAAACAATTATGTATAGATTGTATGATTCGAGGAGGGAAACTTGATTTTTTTCTTTACCTTTTCAAAAAACTTAGTTTTAGGTGCGACATCTAATGAAGACTCTAAGAGATTTCCTTCTATATATTAAGAAATTGCGTGTGAAGATCTTTTTCTCTACAAATTCCTTCAACTAGCATTTAAAAAAAGAAGAAAGAGAAGCATTTAGTGAAATCCAAGTATTATTCCGAAGATGAGATCGGAGAAGATAAAGATTAGACAGTGACAATTAAAATAATTTGCATGAAAGAAACTTAGAATGGAATCCAGTTGAGTATATTCTGTATATAGACTGTGTGAGATGGATATAGAAATAAGTCTTAAATGTGAAGATTGAGATAAGTTTTGTTATTAATGTGGTGGATATAGAATTGGATAAATTTAGTTACTAGTAGGGTGAATATAAAATTGGATAAATTTAGTAATTTAATGATTTATAGTAGTTTTATAAGGTTTGTGTGCATGTGACATGAAAATCTTTATATTATATTTAAATGTAGTTGGTTATATGAGTTCTAAATCTTGCCTATTTTTTCTCATTAATTACTAGATTTTTATTATGATGAAAATTATTAATAACAATGCATTGATCTCATCAAATTATATTATTTTATGCGGCTTATGTAACTATTCCCACAAAACTACTTAAATTTAAATTTGTTATTCCCAATTTAAGCATAATAATACCCGGGTCAGGGTCGTGGTGGAGAAGGGGTGACAGAGACGTCACGATAGGGGTGATAAAATTGTAATAAAAAAAATTAAAAATACCATAAATCGCACAAAAGATGCTCTCCCCATGCTAGTTAAGATAAAAAAACAAAGCGAGGGCAGTCACATGAAGGAAATTACCTGAATTTGGATTGGTGCGACATTGATTTCAAATCAAGTCAGGATGAATATGCACAGATGCTGTCGAAATGGGCACAACCTATAGCTCCCATAGAGATCAACAAGACTACAAGAATAGCCGAGGTGGTCATGGGCTGCACTAGGATCGGGTCATCTGGTCCGTCCCAGATAACGTGCCAATATACTCCTGGCCCAGAAAAGTGTTGGGCCATTTTTGTTGGTATGGCCCTGAATTTTGTGCCCTGAGCGTCTTGGGCCGGGTAGACAACCGAACCATGACCATCCCAGGACATCAATATGCAAGAAAACTTTTCCCCATCTCACCTCCCCCTGTAATTGTTACGATACGAATTGTGCATTATCCCACAATGTTCAACCTATTGTAGCTCAAATGTTGCTCTGGTTGTGTCATTCCGAGATGGTTTTGATTAAGATGAATCCAGTACAGGACAATAGAAAAGGTCAAAAAATATCAAGTTCACTTGTACTTGGTACTATGCACTTTCATTGTTTACTCCTATTTTTGGCCTGGTGTTGACAGTACAAAGAAAATCATTGGATATCTTCATCCAGGCGCCTAAACAAAGTTATTCCTCTTCTCTTAGCTAGTATAAGATCAGGTGATGCAAGAGATAGAGATGTATAGGATGACTAAACATTTCTATACATTCACCGAAGTAAATCAAGCAGCAGCTATCTCCTCTACACTGCTGATATCTTCTACTAACTGCAGTTTCGGTTCCAAATCTATGAACTGGTTGGACTTGCTGGCGAGGTGCGAGATGCTAACTCTACCTTCCCGCTTGATATAGTCAGCAACAGCTTTCATCTCTTCCTGTGATATGTAAATGTATTTTCCTCTATCATCCATGACACCAGATAGTCGTCCTGATGTGAACAAAATATTCAGTGTCACTCTTCGATGACAGTATTAAGTGAAAGAGCCATCTTAATATGTTTAAACAATGGTAAGAAAAAGCACAATAAGCCTACATGTTGTACATTTGAGTCCTAAGAAATCTAAACTAAGATGGAGTGAAAGAGGGAAGAGATTTTTCTCTCTTTTGTTAGTGGTTGGAAGAGGGGAGGTGGGAAATGGGGGGGAGGAAGAAAGGATCCTCAGTACCATAGCTGAGCTAACATAGAGAAAATAAGAGGAAATCTCCCAAAGGAATGCGTTTTTGTGGTGAAAATAGAAGCGTGAAACTATGTAGCTACCCTAGTGATGCGTTCACAAAAGATTCTACAAAAATACCAGTTAGACCATACATGGGAGAAACTTTTGGGAAACAATAAACAATTATCACAAAGAAGGCTGAAATGACATGTTAATAAGTAGACGGCCAAGAAAACAACAGTTTGAAAAAAGGGCATTGAGGAGAGCACAACATTAATTCCAATTCCAACAAATCATACCTAAGATAGTGTCAAAAGTAGATAAAATAACATTTTTTTGGTCAACATGCGTTAATTCACACATTGAGTTGATAAGCAGATTAAGAAATTTAGAAGAAGGCATGGCGTAATCTAGAAAATAGAACTACTCATGTTTGGACTAAGGTGCATTTATTGAGAGACTGACGTCACACAATACTTTAGCCCCATCAGTGGGAACAACTCACTAATGAAGTTGATGCAGGCAAGAATTTTGAAAAAGCAAAATCATAAAAGAACAGAGAATTATACCAATAGTTTCCAGTGAGGTGATGCGATTGATACAGTCCTGCATCAACCAAAAGTTGCATGGTGTGATAAGGAAGTGATATAAAATCAATCAGCATAAACCCAATATACTTTGACAAGGGAAATGTGCAAACATGATGCACGGTAACATATTTATAAGAAGTAAAAAACCTATAATCGGCAGATACATCTTTAAAAGGGGTGAAAAACAATTATTTAACATCCAATAAATCACCAAGATTGCTGCTGTTATGGTGGTGGGAGGAGGATAAATAGCACACGAGTTACCTGAGTTCGTAACCTAAACTCTGCAGCAAGGTCTTCCAAAGGTACACATTTCTGTTTCTGCATGAATACACTAAAATATCAGGCCACAAACTCCCATAAACTGATAAACATATCTGTGGGAACTTTAATGCTCTATGCAATCCATAAACATATCTGTAGGTCCTAGTCCATACTCCTGCAAGTGTACTATGAAAACAAATTTCTTATTTAACAGTGCTTTACTCGCATAATTTGGTTCCTATTAAGATTTTTCACATCCAATAGATTGGGATCTTATATGCATGTTGGCAATGAAATCAGAACAAGAAACCACCTTTATATATTCCACAAAATCAAAAAGCAAGTCTTGGTTCTCATCTTGCACTTCATTTTCGGTAGTACCTTCACCATCAACTGAAAATTCCCCTTTCCACTTTTCAAACTCTATTGCAGCAGCTCTTTCCTCCTGGGCCTTTTGAGCTTCGGCTTCTTCTTCCTAAATAAAGGACATTTAATTACTTTAACAAAAAAAACCAATCCTGAAAATCACATGAAAGCATAGGAGGTCAACCAACCAGCATACGTTCTTGAGCTTCACGCTCCTCATCCTTTCTTCTCCTCATTTCTGCATAGCGGTCTTGCTTTGTTTGTCGTGAATCACGTGAAGCCTCTTCAGCCTGCAAAATAAATTATACGCCTCCGAACAGATTAAAAAATGTTCTTTTCTTTTTTTTTTTTTTTGGGAGGAGGGGAATAAGCCTATGTACACAGAACCACTGATTCTCCCACAGAAAAAGGATGCAACAGGCACAGTACAAACGTGATTCTTTTACAAGGGCGGGCCTTTGCACCGCAGTAAGGTTGCTTCATTGTAACCTCGTCATCAAGGGTTCAAATAGCAAAAATAGGCTTTCTATATGCAGGGTAAGACTACGTACATCCAGCCCTCTTAAAGCCCTGTAGTGACGGGAGCCTCGTGTACTAGACCTCCTTTAATACACATACATAGTTTAAACGGAATGAATCGACAACTAACAGTAACAATTTTGTACTCTCATACTTGTTTCACCATCACTCTTATTTTTAATAAGAGTTTTGACCATAAATCCCGATATTTATGGGATTATTGCAACATTTCATGAGATAAGTTGCCCAGAAAAGGAATAACTATAGACATCTAAACAACATAACTAGAAAATGAAGAGTAAGACAAAGACAGAAAAAGAAGATGATGAAGAACTAGGAATATTTTGACCTGACGTTGTGCTTCCCGTTCCTGTCTTTTCTTTTCCCTTTTCTTTGATGCTTTAGCAGTGTAATCCTCACCTTCAGCAACTTCCTCATCACTTCCCCCAACAGTTTCTGTGCCCACATTTATGGAAAATATGCTTTTATTCACTACATACAATATTAACATTTATGCAGAGTACAAATTACATTAATTACTTAGAATACTAAAATGATCAAGAAAATCAAACTTTAAAGCTTCATTTAGCATCACCCCACCTCATCGCTGTGCAGATGGGGTATAATACACTTATAATTCCTTGTACATTGTCTAGGTGGCAACATTCAATTATGTAAATAGCAAAAGATAACAAAAAGGATAAAGAAACAGAAATCGTAAAAGATAACTCTCTCATCCTTTCATTTTGTTATTGCTGAGTTAAACCCCAGCAGATGCTCTACAAGAATGACAAGGAAATATCTCTGTCCGTGCAATATCTATTTTTGGTCTAAAATCTTATTTGTTGAAAGGTGGTTGGGAGGGTGATTGTGTGAGTTTAGCCAAGCAATCTTTGACCACCATGAATGCCCTCAAAATAGGACATTCTAAAAATTATTCAAATAGCCTATTTCACAAAACCCTAATTGTTTTTCGCTTTGCAATTAAATTGCATATAGGGTCCATCCGCCACATGACAAGAAGCCTAGCTGACGAGCTGTGTCCCAATGACATAGAAAGCAACAAACTAGGAAATAACTCAAAGTCACCAAAATATACACAACCATTCACCAAGGAGGTGATTCAAACTTCTCCTTTAGCAGGCAAGGATATTTCAGTTATCGAAGCCCGAATGTGAATGAATAGTATTTAATCATAATGATACTGAAAGGCATCATGAAGAGGAACCCCCCAAAAAAAACACAAGGTAAGAGAATCACCAACCCTCTACGGTTGATGGGCCTGAAGATGTGCTGGCACCCGGAGCTGGTCTTCTACGCATCCGACGGGCACCTGTGGCTCGTACCACAGTTTCCCTCTGCCGAACCTGAAATTGATTCCAGGTAACAAACTAGTACTCATCATCAAACGTCACAATATTTCTTTTTCCTCATAAATTTAAACTGTTTTCACTAATCAAAATCGACAATAATCGAAGAACCAGGCAAATGATATTGATATTGAACAATTAAATCAGAGAAAAATTGGAAAATTATACCTGAACATCTTCTTCTACTGGTTCGTCGGAAGATCGAGAATCTTGACGACGTTTCCAAACATAAAGCGGAATTAATGCTAAAACAAGAAGCATTGAAAGAATGGCTACAATTATATCCTCCATCTCTTTTAATTTTTGGCAGCTGCTGGTCTGAGATATATCTGTACAGATATAAAGGGAAACCAATTAGGTCAAAATACTTGGAGGAAACGTAGCTGAGCACAAGCAATCGAAATTTTATAGGCAGAGGCAATAAAATTAGGGTTCATAAGAGATCGTGAACCCTAATTTTAGGAATTGTATTAGTAGTTGGTACCTTTGGGAGGTTACGGACCTTGACTGATCTGAGAGTGAAATTGTACAGAAGTCTCGATTACGGAGCGTTTTAGAGGGAAAAATATTGCATTTCTAGTGGTGGTGAGTTGCATTAAAATGACGTCGTTTAAGTAAACCCAATGAACAATCAACATTAGTTAAGAATCATAACCCAGGTCAATCGCTTTTTAAGTGTTGAGCATTTATAATGCTGAATTCAAATTCAAATTCAAATTTAAACTTAAATTTAAATTTTAATAAAAAATTTTAAAAAAATTATTCTAACTTTTGATTCAAACTTATACAAAATCAAGTGAGACTTATTTTTTTTTTATTTCCTTTAGAACTGTGCAGCCTTCTATGTTAATAATGCAGCCGAAAAGGAAAGAGACGTTCCTAGACTTGTTATAAATTATAAACTTTTAAATAAAGTTTTGCAATGGATAAGGTATCCAATTCCTAATAAAAAAGATTTATTATCTCGATTATATAATGCTAAGATTTTCTCTAAGTTTGACTTAAAGTCAGGTTATTGGCAAATCCAAATTGATGAGGCAGACAGGTATAAAATTGTTTTCACTATTCCTTTTGGACATTATGAGTGGAATGTTATGTCATTTGGACTTAAAAATGCTCCCTCTAAATTTCAGAATATAATGAATAATATTTTTTTATCCTTATTATGTATTTTGCATACTCATCTTTTCTGATTCTATTGATCATCATTTTAAACATCTGAATAAATTCATTTACATTGTTAAAACCAATGGTCTTGTGCTCTGTGCTATTAAAATGAAACTCTTCTAATTAAAGGTCAAATTTTTAGGTCATTACATTGAACAAGGGAATATAATCCCAATTGAAAGGAATATTGAATTTGCATCCAAATTTTCGGATAAAATTAAAGAAAAAAGGCAATTACAAAGATTTTTGGGAAGTTTGAATTATTTAACTGACTTTTATCAAAATCTTGCTAAAGACACTACTATTTTATATTTTCAACTTTAGAAAAATCCATCTCCTTGGACAGATGATCATACAAAAGAAGTAAAAAATATAAAGCTTAAAGCTAAATATTTACCATGTCTTTCTTTGATATATCCAACATGGATTAAAATTGTTAAAATTGATGTCTCAGATAAAGGATATGGAGGTATTCTTAAACAAAGAGATCCTAATTCCACTAAAGAATTACTTGTTAGATTTACTTCAGGAAAATGAGGATCTACTCAACTAAATTATTCAACTATTAAAAAAGAAATTTTATCTATTGTTAAATGTATTAGCAAATTTCAAGATGATTTATTAAACCAAGAATTTCTACTAAGAATTGATTATAGCTCTGCTAAAAATGTACTTGAATAGGATGTCAAGAATATTGCATCTAAACAATTTTTTGCAAGATGGCAGGCTATCTTATCTGTTTTTCATTTTAAAATTGAATATGTTAAAAGAGAATTAAATTTTCTTCCCGATTTTCTAACTCGGGAATTTTTTGCAGGGTTCTCAAGAATAGAGGTCAGAGTAGCACCCGCGGCAGAGGAAGGCCTAATGGTAGAGCGCAGGTCAATGCTTATTATCCTCCTTTAACTGAATCCAGTAAGCTTAAAGCTGTTAATAATCAACTTCTTAAAGAAGGCTTTTCACATAAAAGTGAATCTTCATCACATAAAAGTGAAAATAAAGATAATGACGGTTATACTATCATCCGATCTAAAAAATCTATTAAAAATGCTCTTATAGCTAAGCCCAAGCTAAACTATACAGAGTTATACACTCTGTCTGCTTATAGCAGTAAAATGGCTCTTGACTATGAATATGAAAATTGTTTAATTGATCCATATTATATTGTTGGAAGGTTTATGACTTTAGATAATGCCTATTTATACTCTGGAAATAAAAATAGAGAATATTTATAAAAATATTTTAATTGAAACTGACTCTTTTAAATTCTAAAGATTCTATAATTATGATAAGGACTATAAAGATCCTCAATATAGTAAAGCCCTCATATTAAGGGTAATTTCTACTAAAGAATGGGGTCTTAATCTCACTATCCAGAACACTAAGAAAAACTTTGTATACGGAGTATACTATTTTGATTATATTATTGTATGGAATAATATTTTTTTATATGAAGCTATAAATTTAAAGCATACATGGTTCTTTCAATTCACTGAAACTTGTACGAAAATTTTGAACTGGTTTTATGATTGGTGGAAAATTCATGGTGCTATTGATAGGATATACCCTGAAAAACTAAAGAAATTATTTGACTTGCATAAAAACAAAAGTTCATCCTTAAAGGATAATGATATAACAACTAAGCCAAATATAAATTTCTCGCTTGAATTCTTTATTCCATGGATTTGGGCGTGGACTTTGGCTTGTGATTATAATCATAATGGACACCTTAGGTTAATCGGGGAATATCAAGTTCGTTTCTGGAATAATTATAATACTGATGCTAAATGTCAGACTATTGAAGAATGTCTTAAAGACATAGATAAAGAAAAAGATAAATCTTCAATTGATAAAGCTTCATCTTCTACATCAATGGTTCCCTCTACCAGTATAAATACTGGAACTAATTTAAATCCTGTGAAAGTTCTTAAAAAACTAATTAAAAAGGAGAAACCCCATTTAAACTCTAAGCAGCTTAAAGCAACAGTTATGGAGGAATTTCGTCTTCAGATCAAGTCTACATTTGGCATGAGCAAAACAGAGAAGATGGATCTTGTCAACACTCCTACAATTGCCATAAAAGGCAAAGAGAAAGATAAAGTTGAGGAAGAAAATAGGAAATCTCCCACTCCTATTAATTCTGATAACGACTTTATGGATTCCTAGAGATATACCCCTCTTATAGGTGACATTGAAATTAATGAAGATTTGCTAAATGTTGATATGGAGATAAATCTCCATGATGACAAAGATAATGAGCTGTCTGCTTTATTTTTCAAGAAATGATCAGATAAAACTGATTTCTCTGATAAAGTTGACCCAGAAAAAATGACGCACGTCCTGACGTCACTACAACAATGTGACGTACGCCATGACGTCACTACGAAGAAGTGACGTATGCACTTACGTCACTATATGTACTGTGAATAATGTACAGTAATTATGACATATGTAATGACGTTATTGTAAATTATTAAAGTTAGGAACAGTATAAAGTTGTGAATAATATTTTTTATTTTAAAATCCGGATTTCATGTCCGGCTCTATAAATAAGGGTGCAGGCCCGACTTGTGGAGCACTGCCCCCAAACCTTATCCTCTCTCCTTCACCCACTTCTTTACTTACTCCCTTGACCATCTCCTTACTTCCTTCTCTCTTGCACCCTCGGTGAACCATTCTCTTGTATAAACTCTCATTCTTCATTCTCCTAGTCTACTACTATAAGTAGACTCTACTCTGTAAATACACTTTTGAATTAATAAAAGTTCTTTATTTTGTAGATACATCGATCCTCCCCCTTTCTGGTATCAGAGCCAAGTGAATGGTAGTTTAAGTTTATTCTGTTGATTTATATGCAGATCTATTACTAATTTTTGTTGCTTATGTAATTGTGATTTAACTCTGATAGACTACTCTTACTTTGATATTGTGAAAATAATTTTGTGATAATAAAATCATTCTGATAGCTTTTTTTGTTTGTTGAATTCGTGTTCGCATGAAATTTTTCCTGTAGAGTTCTATGTCTGGTGGCATGTGGGATGTTAGGCCATTTTAGCCGTTTTTTTGTAATTGTTAGGCGTTTTGATGGCATGTTTCTGGTCTCGGTATCGTTAACAGAATAAGATTTTGAAAAAATTCACTAGAACAGGTTTAGCTCACGATAGGATGCTGAGAACGTTATTATTTCAAGATTATTATAACAATTGTCACAGTAGCGGGACTGTAACAGAATTAAAAGACGAATTACAGTAGTAACTTGAAGAAGGTAATAGTGAAACATATAATTCAACAGAAAAACTTTTGAAATACCACTATGACTTTAAACCTATTTAAATTTAAACTTAATCATAAAGATGACTATATTAAAATATGAAAGAAATATAATTCTTTGATATTAAAAATAAATTACAAAATTGGGATATACCCCAGTACCCCACTAAGAAGATTTATAATATTGGCACGTTTAATTTTAAATCGAGTTTTACTATTAAAACGATTAAAATGACTGTTCCTTTTAATCAAAATGAAGATATTTTACAACTACTAACTGAACGAGAAGTTTTAAAGGCTCAAGAGTAAGATTATAAATTTTTACATATTGGTTTAGTACAGGTTGTTTTAAAACCTTTAACTCTTCACAGATTAAATGTCTCTTTTATGTTAGCATTAAGAGATGCTAGATGTCTTAATTTTGATCAGTCTTTAATGGGTGTTATGCAATCCAACTTAAGTACTGGTCTAGTTTATTTTAACTGTTTTTTAAATTTATCTGTATCTTTATTTGATAAAAATATTTTAGATACTTTAACATGTCATATAAAATCTTATGGTTATAATTATAAAGAAGGCACATATATAATTGTGTTTGCTTATAGGGTATATTATAAAATTATGAATACTCTATGTCCTGAAGCTAAACTTTTGAACCTTAAAGGTCAAACCACTTTAATTGAAACTAATACGGTTAAAAATAAAATTGAAGTCCCAAAAATCATTAAATGGTCAGATATTTAGTTTCCAGACACCTGACAATTAGAGTCTGTGGTTCCTAAAGAACTAGAAATCAATAACGAAATAACTCAAATTGCTTAATCATCTCAGGGTGATGTTACCATAAAATTTGCTAGAATAAATTCTATAAATTATTTACCATCTTTTGATAAATCAGAAACTTCATCAGATTATAATACACCTTTTGTCCCTTTAAGAAAATCTACTTCCTCGGTCAAAAATCGAAGAAGAGATAAAGAACCCATAATTGAAGGAATAAAAATTTCAAAAAATAATATTCCACATGGTATTTATTGACCTGTTAATATATCTTCTCAAGAAGAAGATTTTGATAAAAATTTTGATTTAACCCC